AATCTGGCTGTAGCCATACGTAGATATTTACAGAGATGAATAAATAATTTAATTTATTTAAGTTTCAATAGAAAAACATATGTGTGAGTATAAAGTCGGTAGAGTTCAACCTCTCTTGCGTGTAGTGATACGCATCTACCCTAATGGAGTAATGATCGCAGCGTCTTCGGCGCCCGATTCTAACAGGGGACGTGTCCCGGCCTTTCAGACCCGTGACCTGTTGTCGATAAAATATTTTCTTTGTATTTTCTGACCCCTCTATACGGTTTATTGTCAAATTTGGTCATGTGGAACCTACTTAGATTTGATATTGATCAAAATTATTTGCAGACAATATTTGCAGGCGCTTTTGAATATTGAAAAAGCGCTACAGAACTAGTTTTTATGGGCAAAAAATTAGAAGAGCGGTAACAATTCTAGTTAAGATACCTTAGTGGTATGTTGTAAGGTTAAACATAGCCAAATTAAACATAGCAAACTATTTAGATAAGCAAGTCAATAAATAAATGTAGGCATACGAAACACCGTTACATTTTATTCCGTTTTTATGATCCTGAAACTGTGACGTGGCGCATTTTCGGTCTTTATCACGTAGGAACTTGCAAGGAGATAACGTTATTCCGTTAGTGAGTAAATGAACAAGATTCTCTGAAGCCATTATCCGGACGAATTAGCTGGCGACAAACTAATTTTCAACTAACGCCACGAGCAGACGGTACGCAGAGCTTTCACGTGTCAGATTCACCTTGAACGACATTTTAATTTACTTTCCTCGAGTCACAAAATTTCATAAATCTATTTTTAGAAGCAATAGAATTCATCTCAAGCTTCGAAACATTTCTTAAAAATTACATACGATTTTCTTATTGCATCGCAAAATACAATACATTAACGGATCGCTGAAATGTGTTTAGGTACGTTGTGCTTAAGCACACTTGAGTGTGACAAGGGTTGCTAAATGTAAGTAATGCTAGAGTGTAAGCGAATAGATATGTAACATATCGTCCGCCGTCGCGTGAAAAAGCGATATCTCCTGTGGGAAATATTGCTTCATGGCGTTTGATTCATCCTTCACAACACGAATAAACAGATTATTTACTTGCCTTGGTGATATTGTAGGTACATTTTCATTCAGGTTAGTCACATTTAAGATTTAAGACGTAAAATATGATGATACAAATGCACTATACATTCATAGTTAGGTAACATTTCATTGGTGGGTCTGGGTACCTACGTAACCATTAACTCTCACGATTTTTTTAATATAAACGTAAGGCTTTTTGCAAGGCGAGAAGTAAAACTTAAGATACGTTACTGTCTTTCTCCAGTAGGTAGGTACCTATAATTTCTATTATGGTCTGTCCATTTTTACACCAAACAGAACAAATGTTCTCTAGTACGGAAAAACATTAGCAGCAGCACATGCCACTTCTTACAGAACTCCCAAAGCGCGGTGCGAAGGCGTTGTGATTCATTGGGGGTGGTTTGCACCATCTATTTACGGCTACCATTAATTTGCTCCCGCGGTAATGTGATGAAAGCCTTTTCCTGAATCCCTCATTCAACCAGAAACGCTCAATAAGTATTGGTATTAATTGCCCGAGATGATTTATGTTTTCAGTTAGGCACTTCAATAAACACGCATTTATAGAACTTTCTTCATTCAATGAATCAATAAACGTGCTTATAATATAAGCAAAGATAATTTTCTTTCTTATAGGGTTAATGCCCCAAAACTCATCAATCATCTCATTTAAGATGGGCAGAAACAACTTTAATAATTACATCTTCGGCGGCGGCAACTATTGACTCGGTTCATAATAAGTAGAGGTTAATAATTCCTTGAGTTATTGACAATAGAATGTTCCTACCCCTTAAACCTTTGTAAACATCGAGAAGCCTTTATCGAGCCATCTTCATTAAATCACTGGCCCGATTCCTCGATACCGGATTATCGTCGACAGATAATCCGGTTCTTTATTTTTTTAACGGCTTAATTGAGAAAACGAGAAGATGATCCGTTCACTTTATGCGAAGCAGCGTAATTAGTTACAAAATGACAGCTCGATTATTCGTAGAATGTATACAATTTTGGAGTAAAATCATGAATGAAACAAGAAAAAGATTTCATGAATCGATCGACCCTTTGCGACTATTTTCGTTCAAGTGCTGACAATGACGTGGACGCTACGTCTAATAAGACCCGTCGGGTAACGAAGTTCCTTATCAAGTGACCTTCAGCAACTTCTTTGTGGGAGGACAAAGCCGGTCAGCGGGCCTCATCGGCGCCGAAGGGTCCTGAGAGCACTCCTCGCTTGTTACAAAATGCGCCAAATTGTCAACTCAGGCGCGATCGCACTTTTGATATTGTAACGCTCGTTCTCCTTGTTTTAGTATTTATTCATTGTTTTTTGGCATGTGACCTTTGGTCGTGTGTCCAATTTTAGCACAAACAGAAAATGATCGATGGTTATAAGCACAGATAGGTTTTAAGTGATCAAGAAAATGGAGAATTACTGAAACTACGTAACAAGTTGGAAGACAGAAATTTATTTACCTACGCAATTTAATTAGATTTTGTTCCATGTTAAAATCAGAATTTGGTTACAATTCAAGGACACTTGTTTTCGCTTAGGTCTTTTATTGTCTGTACTTATTAAGTAAAAGTTTCACTCGTGTATTAATTTTTAATTAGTAAACATTTTTAATTAGTAAACGTTGTTGGCATCGGGTGTTTGTCTTTGTAAAACAATTTCTTCAACGATCCATATTAATCAACGCTGAGGTTGAGAGGGTAAGGAACAGTTCATTTTTTATTCACCCTAAAACCCGGTTCTACACCCGCTTGGAGACTTTTAATTTGCTTGTGCTAACATTATCACGTAGCCATTAAAATTGTCTTATGGGTAAAACCCTTGCTCATTAATTATAACTGAAGCAAGGGTTTATTCATTATTTTATTATTCGGGTCCCTTGTGAACAACCTATCTTTTAATTTTATTTTATCTAACTAAATGGTTAGTCACTTGAGAATATTGGCACAGTGAGCAAAAGAAACAACAAAACAGTATAAAATTCGGGTTATCTTTATTTTACTTTCATACAAACACATATGAAATATCACCAGTTTTAAACCCATTTTATACATTTTTCCACGAAAAGTTATACGTCACATAATTAAAATATAATGATCACCCCATATATTGGTCTAGTTCGTTTATAAGGGGTACATCGTATTCCAATGCAACTATGAAGTCGTATAGGAAAACTAGAATGTTGCTAATTAGGAAGATTAGGTTGATGACTTGAACACTTGGTTGTTCGGGGGAGAGAGTGCGAGGGTCAGACAAGACGCAAAGGTGCCCCACCAGCACCACCGCGCTGGGAACAGGAGGCTGAACGCTCTCGATTTGTTCTAGAATATACCCCATAGCCATAATAAAGTGACCGACATACGGCAAGTATACCTCCAGAAATTTCACCAGATCCAGCATTGGTTTTTGATCATGTCATGTTCCACGGAGCGACGACTTCAGCTCCTGATATTCTCCGATTATGGTCAGGATATTCGCAATCACAAAATATCTATTCACGCTGAAGTCACGCTTATACTGTTTAACATACAGCACATCTTCCAGCACAGTAAATGCGTCCGAGAGTAAACCTAGGGAGTGGCCGAGTATCACTAAAATAGTCCCAGTAAAGCACGGCTCGATTTCATCACAGTAAATCTTGCCTAAGGCATATCCAAGAACAAGGAGGCAGTTGCTGAGCACCGCCAAGTAGAAATCCGCTGCGGACATAAAGAACTTGGTCACTGCTGCTTGGCTGGTTATTTCTTCCAGCGAGTGACCCAGTGCTAGAAGATATTTCGGTCTGCAGAATTTCATTTTCACTTGCTATGCATTTACGAGGCAGGTGCATGATTGTCGTGGAGGTTTATTGTTGGTTAGTTTAATCTTTCATCATCATGTTCCTGTAGATCGTCTTCTGTGCGTATTATTCTTTATCCATGTGTAGACATATTGAGAGGTTTTATTTAGGCATATAATTGAATTGTTGGATATTCATAAAACACGTAATTTATATTGATACAGCAAAAATAAAATAAATGGGCCTGTAAATTACCTACAGGCCCGCGTGATGATTTTGACAAATTGTCAGAATGATAACTCCTGTGGCACTTCTATGACAGAAAATCTTTAAAATAGGTTTTAGTAAAGAAAATCCAAACCCTATTTAAAGCGACGAAAAGAATATACCTATGTGAATTTTATTTTTATATTCGTGAAGTCATAATTAGGATATTCTACAACCACAAAAGAGAGCAGGGAAGGAATTTCGATCAGGCGAAGAAAAGGGTAAATTCCTGTGGGACAGAACCGTCCCAGACGGGACTAGGACCCGGTGCTAACCATAAAGCGGGGCGCGTCTGTGGGACAGGACGGCCAAAATAATATTAGAATACCCCAGTTAAACACGCTGCTACTAAAGGTAGGATTTTTTAAGATCCTCCTGTAATCCTTTATTCCATCCTCTTAAGGTATTAAGAATGAGATCTCCCTCAGAAATATGAATAGGAATTTATACAAAGGGTAGGTATATGGATTCGTCCCCGTATTTTTTTTTACCTAAAAGTTAGGAAATGACGATAAAACATGATATTTTAGATGCTAAGCGATTAGTTTATGGTTATATGAAATATTTGAAATGGGGGCTGTTGATTGAAAAAAAAAAGTTAAAGGGAAACGATAAGAATAAAATACTGCAAGCACCGTTGATTCGCTCAGAGATATAATTGCACAGTTGAATTGCAAATATAGGTTGAACCCTCGAGCCTGTCTCATAGCCCATGAATTATGGAACAAAGTTTTAAATCTTAACCGGCATTTACAAGGTTTTGTATTTTTTTATTTCAGAATAATGCTGAAAATATTGCACAAGACACTTCTTCATAATGACTTCTTTCTATTGCAATTTAATGCTTTACATTGGCTTAAATTGGTAAAGCGTAATTAAGTGGCTGATAAGGTGAGTAGGTACCTAGTTCCGAAATGTATTTTGAAGATATCTTACAGTAGAGCTAAGATTCGGGGGTTTAAAAAAAATGTGACTTCTATTCGTCGTTTAGGTAATAAATGCTTGTTTGCCCTCAATGGGATTCAAACCAACAACAAAAACGAGGAACGACAAGACTTATCTTATTATTTATCTAACCAGATTCTACTAATATTTTATATGCGAAAGTTTGTGTGGATGTTTGTTACTCTTTCACGCAAAAACTACTGAACGGATTTTGATGAAACTATACAGTATTATTGTTTATAACCCAGAATAACATATAGGTTATAAATTATGACGATCTGTGACAAACTAAACTAAATTTCACGCGGGTGAAGCCGCAGGCAAAAGCTAGTATAGAACATAACCTCTACAGAAATAGACGAAAAACTACAATATCGGTTTCACTCATGCGCTCTCTCATAGAAATTGTAGCGAAATTACGGAACCTTGTATCACAAATATCATTAGCGGAATTGGTAATCATGGGTGATGGTCTGATTTACATGCAGCCGGCTGCAAACTGCGCAATTTGTAATTGGTATAAGTGATGCGGTTAATTAAACCAGTGAGCAGTAGACATCATTTAACAAACCGTTGAAATGCTTGTGCGTGTATTTTAGCTGTTAGCCTGTTATTTATATTATCTGCTGCAAGATAATTTTATAACCAAGTGTTACGTTGCATCGTATTTTACAATAAGTACATAATTATCGTTATACTTTTGGAAACCTCTTAATTTTAATTTCAACATTAAAACTGCTTAGGTCAAACTTTGGAGCTCTTCTTTGTGTGTTTTCACACAGGTTGTTCATGTAATGCGGATGTGACATTATCTATCGTCTTATTTCCTACCATAATCCAAGCGCATGCATGTGAGATATTAAGCCACGTACATATGCATGTTTGAAACTTGAACTCAGTGTGGAGCTGAAAGGTTGACTTGAAGATTCATATTAATATGATATTCGAATTAATTGAACGAGCTTGCGTTGATCACTGCGAATTTTTACATCCTTTACTACATATCTGCGGGAAACAGAGAGAATGTGATTTCTTTGTCCATAAACACGCTTACACTGTCCAATGTCCATCTGTGAATATTTGAGCATGGTGGATGAGAGCGAAACGACAAATTATGGTATCTACTTGCATATGCAAGGGCCTATAAACAAAAAGCAAAATGAGTCTCAAAGACTTGAGTTTTCGGTCTGCTCTCTAGGGACGGATCAGTCCGAGTACTCGTGCTTTTTTACGTAAAATCTGTCGAGAAAATGGTTTTCTTGTAGATGTGCGTGTTATTTTGGTGTCTGCTAAAGGTAATGTGTGTCCTTATTTCCTTTAAACGTTTGCAAGTATGCTTTCAGGTGTGAGGAAGCGGCAACTCACTCAAGAGACACTTTGAGAATGTAAAGTGCACCGTTATATCACGTCTTTGTTAGATGCCGTGGTTATTGAAGGCTGCTCGCAGAAAATACACAGCATGTTATAGTGCACGAGGTATTAAAGTTCAAAGTACCTACATAACTAAAACATTACCTATATATCTACCTGAGTCATGTCACGGTAAGATGGTCTAGCTTTAAACTTAAATAACTTTGATTAGAAATTAATAGTAGGGATTTGTTACAGAAACTTGAAATCTTCGTCACAATCAATTTACCTAAGTATTTTTTTCTCACTTCTTCAATTCAATGAATGGAATAGATATAAATTGATGGGTACAAGATTTGCCTAGTTAAAGCCATAGTATCTATAAACCTGAGTATTATATGTGAATATGATGACACCAATCAAAACAAAACAAGCCACCAATGACCTGCTTATGAACCACCAAACGGCACGTTGTTGTGTCCATGTCACGGTTGCGACCACAAGGGCGCCCGCTTGACGCGCTGCCAACTATCGACCAGTGACCACGGACGGCAATGTCAACCACCACTTAAAGACAGTATGTCATGAACAAGATGCTTACATGGCGATTTTAAATATAACACTAATACACGTATCTGTTCGTGGCTGTTTAGAAGCAAACAGAAGCATTTATATGGACCTATAAAAGTCAAAGAGCTCTAAAAACACGATCCAGTGAGATCCTAAAATCCTTACGATACAAGAAAATCGGCCGAGTGTTCAATTTATGACCCATATCTCGTAACATTTGTCAGCGGCTCGTCATCGATGTCGGCCAAACACTGAGAGGACACTCATAAATTTCAATACAGTTGGAATGTATAGGGCCGGAACGCTTGAAAGGGCCTTTCTATATGGGCAGGGTGCGATAAGCACGTGTAGGGGCTGCGATATTTCGTGTTAACACCCTTCCTCTGAAGATAGCGCCCACGGCACTTACCGAATTCGTATGCAACGCACCAGAGTAACGCTCCCATACAAAAATCGCCGCTTTACAAATTCCGCTACCTACACATATGAGTTACGTGCTGACATTCAGCGAAGACGCAATAAAATCGAACAGAATCCACCAAAATGCTTCGCTACATATGATGAATCTTTCGATGTGACATTTTATCGAAAACAATAAAAGAGAATTCTATTTTTCTCCACCCGGAATGAACATAATTAAATTCGTTCCGTTAGGTCAATAAATTTATTCACAACAAACAAGAAGTTCAAATACTCGTTAAGAAAAAAAAACTCCTATGTTTTGAAAAATATTTTTACACTTATTTTTATACCTATTCTTTGAACTTTGAGTAAGTTTATCGGACTGTTATAGAATTCACAATTCACAAAATGTAAGGACGTTTAAAGACACATGTTCAATTGTTCATGTACAAAAATAATATTGGATCAAACCGAGAACGTACTTGAAGCTCCCAAAGATTTAAGGTAATTGGGTCATCAATAAAGTGATCCACGGATTCATAAGGATCCCATTTCGTTTATACGTTTCACCTCACTAAATCCTCTTATGAATAACGGCACCAAAAAATTCTGATCGAGTAGGACGATTATTCGCTAGGTAGGTATCGTGCAACTTTTGACAGGGGACATGTGTATGTACAGATAATGTTATTTCCCAATCTATCATGTGTATTGTGGCGCGGAGGCAGGAAGTTCCACGTCTGGGCCAGGGCAATGAGCGATGGATGAGATAAGCAACTTTTTTGGCGCCAAAATCCTTGACTTTTTTTTACATGTGAAATTGATTCACCTACCTACTATAGAATGAACTTGACATCCTGTATCTCAATGATAGTCGTTCAAGAACAACCTATCAAAAATTCAATTCAACTTCCAAACTCTTGAGTCAACTATAATATTTTATTAATATTTTCTTGTCCGTTGATTTACAGGACAGAATACTACGAGTACCTACATTAGAGAAAAAGGCTTTAAAACATTCCCTACCAACGTTTTGTTTTCAAGTCATGTACGGGACTATCCTACCTCTCGTTCAACCGTCTTCAAGTCGTGTACGCATAATTTTTGTAATTAGATGATTTTTGTTTAAAAGGGCAACTGCCACAAAAGAATTGCTTGGTCTCCCACGTCCCAAAGGAAACCTATTTTGGCGTAATTCTGTTAAATCCCTTTTTGGGTTTGTTTTGCGGCAGATATTATTTAATCAAAAATATTTCTTTAGCTTTTATTTCTTTGTGACTTTCCCGAACCAGCATCGTTACTTGATGTAATAAGCCAGGTGTTTCGTTGTTGTATATTTCTTCTAAGAACTTCTAAGTTTTGTACCTAATCCAAAGGAAGTTTATCTTTAATATTACTTTCAAATTGTTTTGTGCGTAGTCGTACACCTTATGAAGAAAACTGACTTAAGGTTAACGCTATGTACGAGTAAGTAGGACTTTACGTTGATACGTGCGCCTTACTTAACATTTAAAAAGTTTGAAGTGTAATATTACATCAACTTGTAACAGTCAAACAGCTTATTAAGCTGTTATTATGCCACAATACACATAACTTAAATTAAGCTATAGAAATGAAAGTTACACAATACCACAAAGCACAAACAGTAAGCGGGTAAAATACTGTAAACAAGAAATTTGCTGATCATTAATTCGACACTACAACAATTTGTTTTCTGATCAAAGTTGGCACGAAATTATTTTTATGAAATGTAAAGTTTCGATGGATAATACCTAATGGTATTGTTATTAGGTAACCGAGGTATTAATATTGCATTAATATTAGACAAAATAAAGGAGTAACCAATTATGAATCAATATTAAATTTTATCTCGTTCGTCACAAAGACACAAGAATTTGGTGATTACGAGTACATCCTTTGATATTGATTTATGAAGGAAATTAATGGTTAGAACCTATAAGTTATGTGTTATAACCCATGTGTAAAGTCGTAACTAAGTTTTCCTTTAAATTATATAGAGCCAACGTAATACATACTAATTTCTTTTCTTTTATAATTGGCAGTCGGCCGGCACACCAGTGACTTATTATTTTATTACCGATACCGCACTTACAATAGAGTTATGGTTTTATGTAGTCCCAGACTGGTACTATTGAGATCACCGCTTTGTCTTCAGAAGGCTGAGGGATGTGGTTCATAATGAATAATTGGAATTCTAAGAAACGGGATAAAAGGGAATAGCCGCAATGGAGTTAAAGGACTCTAGGGACGGCACGTGAAGTATTTGCGGGTAACTATTGATATTTTAAGGCTCAAACGATAGCGCTGCTTTATCCTTTATCCGCTTTTTAAATGATACAATTATCTATGTACTGGAATCTCGAACCTGAGTAAAGGTATTTTTACTGATATTCTGTAAAAGGAGTGGACGCTCTTACCCTTACACAAAAGTCACATAAGCACCTATATCCTACCTACCTGTACCTATGTATCTAAGTTTTTTTTTTAATAAGACTAAGTGTTAAGTGTACTACCTAAGGTATAATTTATTTAATTATGTTATGAAAACCAAATTATAGTCTAGGAGAGTGTTTAGATTTGATTTAAAGTAATATAATAGTTCCCAGTCCCACGGACAACCGAACCGGCCTGATTTGGTTTAGGTAAACGCGAATTTATGTGATTACGAGTACAAAATAGTTGTTCCAGAGACGTATTTTAAAGGTATTCCAAATCACACATCTTTACCAAATAATGAAATAACGATTCGTGCAAAGTCTATGCAAATCGGAATTCCAAAACTTTAAAATACGCCTCCTGCTCCATCCCATCGACACGTTTGCGGCCAGAGAATTAAACTATGCCGTGTGTTCTCTTAATAGTTTCGAAAATAGCAATTAAAAGTTCCCGTGTTTCAGTTAACACAGCCCGTAGTGGGGATAGGCACCTGGAAATACTTGGCGAATAGTCCGCATTCCCCGTAACCACTTTGTATCAAGTTGATGTTAAGTGTTCTGCATTCCTTGTAGATGTTACCTACTTGGTTCGGCAAACAGCTGTGTCAAGATTTTGTTTTTGCCTAAAGAGCTTTATTTAAGCATAATATTTTTTATAAACTCTTAAAACTAATTTTTTTTTGAAAATAGGCTTTGAAAAAGCACTTTTACACGTCCCAGTATTAACCCTACCACTGCTTCGGGACAATAAATGGGCAATTTTGCAGATTTAATTTAAATATCTTTGGGTTTTATTTAAAACAATTTTTTTATTGGTTGCATAATGAGTAATAATAATCGATAGAAAATTTTTAGCTGAACAATCAAAGGCAGCATCAAAAGATCCACCGTAACTGAAATTCTATTGTAATTTATCAACTAGGTATTTACCTACTTATTTCACTATTATGTGAAACAAAATTATTACATTATAGGAAGTATTTTAATATTTCTCTGATGTTCGAAGTCAGGTACAAAGCTTTTGTTAAAGATTTTCAACACTTTCCAAGGATTTCGTAGTGAAAAATAAGATGGAATATCACTTGGGATTTGCCGTTATAAGATCGCGGATGGATGGAGAGACGCGTGTTTGAATATAAAAGGAAGGGGTGATTTTATTGAAATAAATCGCGGGAAATATTATACAAACTTGACATTTTGACGGTTCATGAAATTTCATATAAGCTTGGTAGTTTAATATAAATACTGATCACTGAAATTGGGACAGCTGGGAACAATCGAAAATGTATGCGCAGTAATTTCTAAGGAGATAATAATTCAATTACATCTGTTTTTCAAAGAATAGATGTATGTATCGCGGATGGATGGAGAGACGCGTGTTTGAATATAAAAGGAAGGGGTGATTTTATTGAAATAAATCGCGGGGAAATATTATACAAACTTGACATTTTGACGGTTCATGAAATTTCACATAAGCTTGGTAGTTTAATATAAATACTGATCACTGAAATTGGGACAGCTGGGAACAATCNGAACAACCGAAAATGTATGCGCAGTAATTTCTAAGGAGATAATAATTCAATTACAAGGAACTGTTTTTCAAAGAATATATGTATGTACACAATAATGAAACAGTTGAAAGACTTAGCCTTGTGTGGTTCTTTTGCCCAGGTGGTTAAGGACTTTCTTCTCAATAAGTAGAATATTCTTGTTTCAATTTCACGACCACAACAGTGTAAGTCCCTCACAACTATGAACTACAATCCAGTTGATTTAAGTTTTTTTTAACTACGTTTATTATTTCCGGAATCTGCTATTTTCCAGCTATAGTACGTGTTCATCATAAGTTGCGATCCGTGTTTCTCCATGCACTCGCTTGCAATAATAATTTCATCTCATCACCAGTACATACTTCGCAACTCATACCAAAGCCTGTTGCATTACAAATGTGCTCCTGGTGAGGTTTAATTTATGATGATTAAATAGGTAAGTACATTCCATCAGCTCGCACTCAGGGATTCGATAACTCTTTTATAATGCGAACAGCGAGGGACTGGAATTCCTTGCCTGCTGCTGTATTTCCCGAACACTATAATCCGGGCCTTTTCAAGGCGATAGTGAATAATCCCTTACAGGGCAGATAATAATATTATGTAAAATCCTAGAAAGCTTCTCATCAGGTGCGATTGCGGTCAAATAAAAATATTTTCTTTCTTTCTTTCAAATACCTGCCTTGTTCTGCATCAAAAAAAGCTTGTACATACAGGGTGTTCCAGAATGGGTGAATCAAACTGATAGGGGAGGTAGCTCTACTAATGTATTATCCCTAAAATATGTTTTTTTTTTTTAAATAAAGTGCTCTAAACTCGATATCTAGTCATTATACANCACCTTCATGCTGTATAACATAGAGCTGGCTAGCTGGAACCGCTATGATAGAACTGTCATTTGTATTCAAATGTGATGTTGTCTTTAGTTGTGTAATGGCTGTGCCGAACTCTCTATTGTAAATATTCTACGTGTGCTTTGATACCAATATATTTATTATGTTACTACCAACCACTGTGTTTATTGCTCTGTAGCGGACTTAATATATCCCTAACACATTGCACTGATGGGATAGAAAAATAAACAAGCAAAACCTTATTCGTTAGCAAACGTCATATTTATTTAAATGTTAGCAGCACTGTTTCTTGTACTGTTATGTTGGCAGGTTTGACTCTTACAGTACCTAGTGCAAGCGAAAACCGACACTAAGGTGACGAACTTTTTCATTCCGCGACTGTACATTAGTAGAGCTACCTCCCCTATCAGTTTGATTCACCCAGTCTGGGACACCCTGTATAAGTGTGCTTTGGACTTCTCGTTTTTTAATACACATTGGTTTTGACAAACATTGTGTGTTAGACGCACTATGAGATGTAGGTTGAGCGTGACATTTGACGAGGGTCCTTCGTTAAAGAAAATCCAAGTCGTTTGCATTTATTACAGTGAAGCAATTTGTTCTCTTCTTATTGGCCAATTAAAAACCCCCAGGGCACGATTTGTTTGGTTACTGGTTCATCGGCCAGACAGACTGTTGTTTTAAGAGTTATTATCTATTTTAGCAAACAGTAACGTTACAGAACCCCAATACAGTTAAAAATAATTTTCTTATCTATAGACACAAAAAGTTTTCATGCCTACATCTAATTAATATCTAGGTACTTATATGAAAACGTTTGACCACAAATGTGTAAGGCATAATAATATATTTTTATGTAAACGCGTTGTACCTATTGGCTGTACTGTAACACTTACTTAGACATATTTTATTCAGTGTAAGTAAATTATATTCATTGTTAAATGACAGTGGTAGGTAGGTATTTACTATACATGCAACCGCACACACAATAAAGGTCTGAAATTTGACATGAACGTCGAAAGCTTTTGTTGAGAGTATTGCGTAATAGAAAGTACCGAATAACTAGCAAAACCTTTATATTGTTTAGTAAGTAAATAGCGTCAGTTTTAGGAAATAAATAGCTTGCACGTATGTATTAATATGCAATTGTTTGAAAGCGTTGTTAATCATGCCTATGTATGATGGTGGATATTGTTTAGGTTCTAGCGGGCCACTTTAAATTGCATCCTAATAATTAATGATTTCAAACGTTCTGTCAATACAGTTAATCACTATCACCTTTAATTAGAAGCAGTTTGTTTTGGTTAAAGAAAGTTAACTTATTAATATTGACATAAAATTACTTACCAAAACATAACCACCAGCAGTTTCTCGATCAGCAACATGTTTCGAGTCGTTTGAACTTTTATTTGGTTAGTTTTGAACCCATTCGCGATGTTTCGCGCGTCTGTGGCGCCGCTAAGCGGAGATGTCTCGCGATCTCCGCTTGGCGCGAAGGCTCGGGGACAAGTGTTCGCGCATGCGCGGTGAACATCACAAGATCTCAACATCCTCAACTTTTCATTCGACGGCTGTAAACGTAATCTTTATCGGTTACTAATCGCATGTGACATGTGTCATTATAAAATTACTCGTATTATTGATGTGGCATTATTTAGAAATAGATGAAAGTTATGAGATTTATCACCAAGAAATAACTAACCCATTGACCATAATGTGTTTTAGTAACTTTATGGGAGTAGGAACATATAAATTCTAAAATATTTCATTACTTACCGACTCTACTTTCGGGCATCACAAGCACCTTTGCAAAATTGGCTCATGAATTTAAACGATTTAGGAGTATAAAAAGATTTATCACCTATAAGCAACAATTTACAATTATTGGAGTGTAATATCCAGTAATTATTGAACCGTACTCGGGGCAGCCTTTTTCTTTTTTCTTTAGCATTGTTGACTCCGCCGTGCTTCCGACTGATTAGAAGGACTGAAACGATCGCGAGCGCGCTCACCTGTGATGCACGGTTCGCTGACATATTTGATTCTCACATCTCAGCGTTTGACCTGCAAAATAAAACTCCTTTTTTATAACCCTCGTACGTCGAGAAAATACCAAACCTGACGTACCTACGGTACCTACTCGTAGATATAGAGCAATGCATTTTTAAAGAAGAATAGTGTTTTATTTTACTCTTCGAATCTAAAACGAGACTAAAATTCATTATCCAATAAAGTAGGGGGACCCTCTGAAGGGAAAGGAAAACTACATAAATTGTAGTATGATAAAGTTTACTCGGAGCAGTCAAAGCCGGAGTTTTTAGAACAAACTTTTCACAGATTACGCGAACCGTTGGTAAACTCGTATTTACCCGAATTTTCTCTTTGACTACCGTACCTTTGATTTTGGTTAGTCCTTTATATTTATCTTTGATTAGCTGCGCCATTTTCGTGCTTTTTCTCTTTTTAAAGCAGTTATCGAACGTGCTTGTGGTGTTAATGAAATTTTGAGACTTATTGTAGGTATAGGTGCTGGTGGGTAAAATAGGTTTTTAGTCGGGTATAAATTGTCAGGTTTAAATATTCCTTGAAAAATTTGAAACGCTGTCTGTGATAATAGGAAAGAAGACTTGTAAAAGGGACTCTATTGTACATCACAACATCTACATATTAGTGTTTTTAATAAGTAGCAAAGGCAAACGATGTAATACTTGAAAAAGCCGTATGGGTCCATGTGTGTGTATGTGACTTCATTTGAAAACTACAACATAATGTATCATCTTATGAATAATCATCTAACTCGTTTATGCAACCTTAACAGGCTTGCCGAAGACGGCGCAAATCAAATATTGCAATCGTAGCACAGATGCAAACGGGGTCGTCTGCAAAACAATGGAACGCAAATGGCCTGATCCCTGCGGCCGCCGATTGCTCCGCCGCCGTAATAGGGTCTGGATCCGCTGAGTGATGCCCCGCTATTAAGAAAATCCCTCCATTTAAACATGTTTAGATACATTCGAGTTTAGATACTTGTCTACGCGGAACATTAGAGGTGAGAGTTTTACGGCCTCCTGGGACTCAAACGCCCGTGGACTTTTGTAAAAACATAGTCAATTTTATATTTTAGCAACGAGTAATGTTGCTGGTATTTACTGCAAAGCTTTCACTACATTAGGTTAATATGCTATGAACATTTCAATATTAGAGCCATAAAATATTTGAAAATTCTAATGAATGAAATTAAAAATCAGGAGGGTCAAAGAGATATGGGGGCAATTAATACAAATTTACATTTCACAAAAATTTCGCTTAAGAAAATTCATCAGCGTCTCTCACTTTTCTGGGATGAAAAAGATTGATTGGAATGGAAATTTCATTTCTTACAACTTCAGTCAAAAAAGTTACAAAGTTTCTAAGTTTTAAGCACTTGTTTACAAAACGAGGTGTCCATTTCGGAAACTACCTAGAAAATATTTTGTTATATTCTAAAGAAATCATTTATTAGATTTAGGTACACAGCTTTTGCAAAAGTTACCTTATGTACGGGCGGGAGGTAGTGGTTGTAAGGCACCGCTCCCGTGCCCGGGATATGCGGTCAGGAAGAGAACTAACTCCCTAGTGAGCCTAGAGTCCCTATTCCCTAAGACACTAAGTCCCTAGAGCCCTAGCCCTGCCTAATAATAAATACTTAGACATAATAAGGGTGTGAGAGGAAGGTAGCTGTGCCCAGGTCGCCCAGGGCAGCAGCGTTAGGACGGCAGGTAGGCGGCGGGGACCCGCTGCCAGCCCGGCAGACTCACCGGACTGATCATAGCGACGGCTAAGGGTGTCTTGGCCGCAGCGGGGGGAAATGAGACACAACGACGTTCGGTTGATATCTGTTTATTGTTATGATTCTATTGGTATTTATACATAATTTATTGNTACTTAGCAATTCTTAAACTCGACTTATCGAAAAGTAGGTATATTTTTCTATAAGTCCCAATCGGGAGTTTTTTACCAATTTATGGGAAGTAATGTCAAAGTGAAGTAGAGGAAATGGATATAAATCATATGGATTACAAGTACCCGTATCTCCCTATGTGATCGAACGTACAGGCGATAGACATCAGACTATATTTTTTTGTTGCAAACCAGCTCCTATTACCATGACATAAGATGCCACAGTGTATAGCTTGATGTGCTCTCATGGAGTCTCTTGAGCAGCGAGACGCGTTAACCTTAATGTGCTTTTGTATGTAGATTCCACCCGGAGCTCCGGCCCTTGCAAATTGTTTCAATGCGTAGGTATACCTCATACAGATGCTATGAATACATTTATGAACCCATCAAGATCTCGTCTTAATTTAGTGGTAGTCAATCTTCTTGCTAGGGTACCAAGTCAAAAGAATGGTTAAGGAGCATTTTTTTTAGAAGTGCTTAACTTGGATATACATACAGGGTGGAATTTTATAATGCCACCTGGAGGGAAAGTACTCTTAATACTGTAGATAGAAAATTTTACTCAAAGAAAACATTCCTTTATTTTTGAAAAGAAACAGAACTGCATTCAAAGATTTTCTAAAATTTTCGAAAATTCACCACCATACCATTCTGTAAATAATTAAAATAATTTAAGATTTCAAGCTTTCATTTGATTTATCAAGTTAGTTACAGAGATTTCATCATTATACTTAACCCTAACGATCGATGCAATAAAAATACAGGATGCAATTTTTAACAAATTTTAGTTAGTTCGATTCCCGGGTGTGGCAAGCAAATTTTTAGAAATCTTTGAATGCAGTTCTATTTCTTTTCCTAAATTAAGGAATGTTTCCTTTGAGTAAAATTTTCTATCTACAGTATTAAGAGTACTTTCCATCCAGGTGGCATTACAAAATTCCACCCTGTATACGGAGTAAATACGGCTATGTTACACAGTATTTGGAAAAAATATGGTAGGAAAAGATTATACAGTAAAGATAAGTTTTATCGCATGCGACTTATAAATATGTTTAGTGCTTTAGGTTTGCTCTATAATGCAAGGCAAATACAATGTATTGAATAGTATCGATACCATGGTTATGGTTACCCGTTAAGTTATAAAAAGAGGTACCTAGGTACCTACCTAGTATTTGGCTATTAAGTTTAGAAATAAATAAAACAAAGTCAGTGGGTGAAATACCTTTCGTAACGTATTCCAAAGTGCGGACAGTAAACGTCATTCAGCGGACGACCTCTAAACGAGCAGCTTACGAAAAAGAATCCGAAACATTCAACTTAATGTGCACTTTGAAACGTTATTTTGTACGCGAGTATGCCACTAGATTCGACATGCAGTTAGCTACGTTATATTCGTGGGAGGCATGTGATCCGTGAAACATTTCGCGCAAAATTACAAGCATATGAAATAGGAATTCGTACGTGGGAAGTGGGAACGTAATACCGCACTGAGATTGCTATGCGCTTTCCATGTAACAGTTTTGTATACTAGCGGTTTATTAACATCAAAATGAGCATTGCATTTCATTTAGGTACGAGTGTATTAGAAAGATGATATAGTGATGCAATTTGGTCGTATTTCCGGTTAGTACCAAAGTATATGTATAGGAAACCTGTTAAGATTAAATTTAAAAACTTCGATAATTATAGAAACATAGCTATTGTTGCATCACATGATAGATCGAAAAATAATAAATATGTTTTTTTGAATTCTTGCCTGAAACTAAATAGGTACTTTTAGGAACCAGTGATGCTCTGAGAAGTGTAAAAGAAAGTCGAAACCTGGGACCTGAGTCGTGGAGCACGATCCTCAAACGACACCCTACCCAGCTGGAATCGACCACATAATGTGCCCTTCGAGAGGGCGGTGTGATCCGCGCCAATACTATTGAATTCCGAAACTGAAACGCGTCTTGTTTTGGTTTTCAATGAGTACTTAGACGAATGGAATTAGAAAAAAACATTTTCTATATTAATGCCTAAGTGTCAAAATCCTGGTCAAAATTTAATAAATATTTTTGTATTGATTTGATTTGATTTGACTTTTTTAATGCTCTTTATCAAGATTTTGTAGAGAAGTGAAACTTTGTTCGAATTTCCAGCACAGACTAAATTAGTAAGTTCTAGAATAGCAAATACACGTTTATTATTATGTTACCATAATTTGTAATCATACATATGTAGTTGTGTACTGTCGATTGAACATGTAAATAATAGGTAAAGATTCTCTAAATATGTATTTTTACGCTTAGTGTAACTGAAATCATGAAATCACTATAAATTATAATTGCATTTCCTATTCAAACATGCCAACCGCAGGATCAGGTAATTGAAATTGGCAAAAGAACTCGTATTACAAAAGATAAAAGCTATCGCGACCGGCGTAGGGTCTGCGTGTGGCACGTCGCTCGCAAATCGCGTCGTTACCGGCCTCGCCTCGCGGACGTCTCGTTCCAACATCGCATCGTGTCATCCTTTGAGCATTCTCAACAGAACGTGGGCAGCACTTTTGTAATTCACTAGGGTAGTTGATGATAAGTAAAAGCAAGCAGTAATAAGGACTAGGTGCTTGTCTGTCCCTGTGGCGCAGAGGATAGCGCGTTGGACTTCTAATCCAAAGGTCGCGGGTTCGATCCCCGCCAGGGATGCTAATAGGATATTTAGTTTATTTTTATATACCCACGTAAAGAGATGGGGATTAGAATTTCATATTTCATACATTGCTATTTCGTGATAAACTTTTTGACTTATACAAAGAGTTTATTCAGTGTTTATTAATTATTATTTTCGGTGGAAACTACTTTTAAGGCACAATAATGATAATGCTATTCGTATTATGATGCGATTGCCGAGATGTTGCAGTGCATCTGCTATGTTCGCGGAGGCCGGCGTTCCGGATTTCTTTGCCCTGTTGAGAGAACGCATAGCTTCTTTCTGGCAGAGGATTCGTGACTCACCTAACGAGCTGCTAACTGTAGTCAGCAATGACCTGTATAAAAGTCCATTCCTCTCACATTGGTTGGATGTTCACCGGAGCGCGAATAGGAAATAAAACAATATTTTAAATTTTTACAGTTTTAAAAAAATTATTCAATAATCCATTAATTTATTAAATAATCGTATTTTTAAATTTTACCCATGTTTTTAAATAACTTTTAAATTTTATGTAGGTACCTACTAGGTAAATTATAATTATTGTCTCCAACGTTTACAATTTAAATTTTTTGAAAATTTATTATTAAGATATGGGATGTAAAAGCCTGAAATAAAGACTATATTATTATTATATTATTATTATTATAATAACATTTAAAAACGTCAAAGAATAGCGTCGTAGCAATACCGTAGCGCGTAGCATATTCGTAGCGGTCTACGGCTATACTACGAGCATAAAGCTACGAAGATGCTACGAAATTGCTACGGTAATCGTAGTGGCCAAATCTCGGCTCTAGCACTCATTTTAATTGCGGTATATAGACCTCAGTCGGTGTCATCGAGTCAAACTCGGCACTCAGCAATATTGTTGATATGTAGGGTAGGGAGAAACACAAAGAAATGTCACTTCTTTTTCCTTGACTTTCTTAACACCTATCATTTTTGCCTACGGCTGTGTCTTCGTAGCAGCGTTGCGATATAAGTTAATTTTACCTTTTTTTCTTTTGTCTATTCAAAGATTAAGCTATACAGGGTGTTAGGTAAATGGGTATATGAGCCGACACTAGCCCATGTTAACATGGGCATATAAATGGTATGGTGAAGTCAGAAAATTGATATCTTCATTTCAATTATTTTAATTTTCATACAAATCGGATTTTATCAAATTTATTTTGTATGAAAATTAAAAAAATTAAAATAATGATATCAAATTTCTGACTTCACCATACCATTTATATGGCTAGTGTCGGCTTATATACCCATTTACCTAACACCCTGTATAGAGTATGAAATTAAGAGAGTTTTTTGTATTGTGGTCATTGGTTTGGGAAATTTTAAAGTCACATGATGAGATTTTTTGTCTGTTTGGTATAAAGTACGAGTACAAGGCTAGCTGGCGCGTGTAGATTGCTAGACAAAGTAGTTCTGTTGTTTATATTTAAAGCAAACTGAGGCATATCTATATATATAAAAGAAAGTCGTGTTAGTTACTTCGCTTATAACTCAAGAACGGCTGAACCGATTTAGCTGAAAATTGTCAGGGAGGTAGTTTAGAGCCAGGAGATGGACATAGGATACTTTTTATCCCGTTCGAAATTAAAAAAAAAAGTCTGCTTATTTATTGCCATTAAGGCGGAACAAAGTTCGCCGGGTCAGCTAGTTGAAAAATAAATGCAAACGCCAATCCCGCCGCGGCACAGGTTCTAATCGGCGGGCGGAAGTGGCGCGGCCGCCGGCAAATAACTTCCGCGTGCGCCTGCAACCAGATGTAGTTTACCGGGTCACACGTCACATGACTCTGACACTGTGCCGTGGAAATGTGAGGTGAAAATGACGCACGGACTTGGAACTCCTTTTATGTTCCGTACTTAATAGTGTGTAATATAAAATTCGAATGTTCTAATCGAAAAGTGTGCAATGGTTTAACATCTATTTGGATTGTTTAAAGATAGCTTCCTAGTGATAAGACCGGATCAGTTGTGCCGTTTTAATTTAAATTGAGTTGAAGAATTCTTCTTTCTTTCTTATTGCTACGAGTATAATGTATAAAACCTCATGAGTCAATTTCGTTAAGACAGACAGTTTAGGCTATTTTTCGCTAAATAATTTGAACATGCTTCAGTATTTTCCAAAACCTAAGTAAAATACTTCCTTCCTTTGCATATATTTTTCAATTTATTTAAAACTGGTACCTATGTTGGTCTTATATTGGCACCTTAACTAATAACATAGTGTAACATCCAGCCAGCTGAGCATTCCTAAACTCTCAACTAGACCGAACTCGACGAGACAATTAAAAGGGACGAGATTTAACCTCTTACCTACGGGAGGCACCTATAGTTGCCTAGTCAAAAGTCACTTCTCAATACGGGTGGCATCTATTGTTATTTTGGCAAAGCCAAATAATAGCCTAAATCACGGTTTACGACAAAAAAACAATAAAATTGCAAATTAAGTGTAAAATGCGCTTGTAATTATGAAACTACATTAGTTGCAGAATATAATATTCCAAATTTCAATACCGTAAGTCTCATACTTTTTAAAATATCTTGATGTAAAGTGGAGCAAACAATTTTATAGGTTAAAATACCCCGTATTGAGAGGCGACTTTGGGTTTCCAAGGGCCCGTAGGTAAAGGGTTAAAAAGTGAAGCGTCCTTTCGCCTACAGAGAGCGAGTCGCGAGCGAGCCCGCTCCACGCTAGCGCACGCGCGACGACACTCCGACCGCCGCCGCCGCCGCGGCCGCCCGCGCTCGCCAAAGGCGCAGAGATCGCGCCCGCGATAATACGCGATGCTATCGAACTTGTGAACTCGGCGATGGATCCCGTGGCGGGTAGTTGAACGGTAAGCAGCTCAATCCGTTTTAATGCTTTCATTTAACCTTTAGTATACAAATCTGGTGCAACTTTGTGTTCTAAAGTGCAGTGAAGTGATTAAAGACATTAAAACTTTCAATTTGAGCGCGCATCGAGTTGGAACAACTCGCTTTGGACCTGATGGCGTCTTGAACCTGCTTACGGGAGTACGTGTCTCCACGGAATCCATTAAAACAATAGAACTGAAACACCTATGTTCTATTGTTCGAGTTATACTCCTCTATTATAAATCAATTTCCGCTAGACATTGGCATAAATAAACCTCATAGGTTTGATTGCCTTTAACCCAAATAAGAAGAACTTGACGATGGTGGTGCTGGTAGCTGCGAGGTTGCGGTGAGCGCGCGATGCGCCGCTTGGCGCGCGCCCCCACCGCGCGATGAGCGCGCGTCGCACGCTTCGCGCGCGCGCCTCTCGCCAACACGCGCACAGATTCGCGCTTCTCGTGCTGCCCGTTGTACTCACTATCGCTCAAATACGGTAAGTCTTAGCAACACTTCGAAAGTGGACCCGTAGAAAGTTTGTTGGCAGGAAAAAGTGCATAAAACTATTGTTGCATTAGATTTTTTAATTAACAACATTAGAATATAATCCTATCTTTGAGTTTATAAACTTTTTGTTATCGAACAATTTGGCAGCTTTAAAATTAGTAACTTTTAAAAGTTAGATATTTGATAAGTGTAAGGTGACGCAAACGTTTTTACAACACCTTAGTTTGTTAACGGGGTCATAGAAGTGGCCACATCGTGAATTCCAAAACATTTGAAACTTAAACAGGCATTTGATGGCTCGGTAGCGCTAACCGCGACCGAATATTTGCCGCTCGCAAAGACATGCCGTCGGCCGTCGGCAAACGGCATCGAAGTAAATTCCCTACTGGCATAACTTGTAACATTATCTCGTTACACTATGCATACTTTGTTAAATTATAAATTCTGTCGATGACAAAGTAAATTTTCTGGTTGGTCCGAATAACTAAGTAGTTTAAGTAGAGCAAACATAGGAAAGTATCAGTCATTAGCTTTTTAAGTTTCACACTCAGAGAAAAACTATCTTACATTGTAATATGTCTCATTACCCTATTCATATTAACATAACCACGACCCTAATGAATGAATACATCTGTAAATAAGTAGGTACGAGCAAGAATTTATTTAGTAAATTCATGGCATGTATAAGTAATTTCAATTTGCAATAAATAAGGCTGACAAACATTGCAACATTGATATTTCCGTTACAGTGATACATTGTGTAGTCTTATTGGAGTTTTAACCGTTTTTAACAACATTACATGAGAACATAAAAGTTTCAATTATTGATTTAATTTGATTTATACCATAAACAATAGAAAGCTAAATTCTATTATTTAGTAAATAAATTAATACTAATAGTAAAAATTTTGTCGCAGGGGCGAGCGTTTGTCAGCCGTCGATCGGCTCGAAAACGTCACGCATACCGTAACACGTATATTGGACGGCTACGACATCCGCTTACGGCCTAATTTCGGAGGTAAGTAAAACAAAATTGCGTTGTATTCTATGTGAATACAAATGCAGATTAGGTAATCAAAACTCTTGAGTTAGGACATTAGCATAACTTTTATATGTTTATGAATGAAGACAGAGCCACACATTTTACATGTAGGGTGATATGACTATTCGGTAAAAGTCATTGTGTAAACTAAAAATCAATTATGTTAGCCCAACTTTAAATGACAGTATGTATTAGATATAAAAGTTACAAAAAAGTTTCAGAGCTAAATCACAAAGTTTCCTGCAAAATGTATAATTCATTCTGCAATGCAAGAATGAATTTTATTATACATTTGTTTTCAGGTAGATGACGTAAGTTTCCGTTCTAACCTAATTTCAGTAATAATTATGTAGCTAAAACTTAGTTTCAACCCATCTACTTATGAAACATCGCTGTCAGTAAATAAACATTAGACGTCGCACTAAATACACATGAGCAAATGTTATTGCAGAGGCGGATATATTCCGAGAAGCACGTGATACGTGGCACTGCACGTTATTGCAATCCTTGAACCATAAAGATCCAATATTGTATCGAATTTAGTAGGCAAACAAGATTCGTCAGCGGTTCACTTGGATGCATAAAATATTATTGGTTTCAGGCGACCCTCTGTACGTTGGCATGGATCTGACGATCGCAAGTTTTGATGCGATATCAGAGGTTAATATGGTAAGTTGTTGCTGACTAGGTTAACAAAATCTAGTGAAATGTTTTGAAGATTATTTTTGTAGAGTTCAGCAAAAACTTGATTTGGCAGATTAGAAAGCACACAACTTCCTTACTATCAGTCAATTTCATGTTATTTGTATATCACGCTTTTCCGGCACATCTACTCAAGTCGAGATCTAAGCATGATGGATGAAAACATAGTCACGTCCCAAATCACCGACCTTGGGGGTGCTTGAGTCCCCGGGGGATGTTTTCGGGTCATATCAAGGACCGCTCGAGCAGGTCGTCCATCGTAATTCATTAAGCTTTTAATAGCATCGGAAAGAGAGCAAGGCCGTCACTTGACACACATCGAGTCGCCGGTGCCCGGGGGCGGAGTGCTGACTCGCCAATCGATGGTCGCCTTTACTTTGCGCCGCCACTCGCCGCCTCCGGATCTGAGGTCGCCGCCCACTTACCCATTACTATGTACTCACGGTATAACTATATGCACGTATTCTAATACATGTACATAATAAACTTGTAACCATTTACCATCCATCCGTCTGATGTCTTACTCGCACGTGTTCTTATTTTACGGTAAACTGTTTTGACATTGGTTTTGACGACAATAACATGGGATATCAGATCTATCTTTCTTATAATTTATCACGTAAAAGCTTTCTTCAAAATGTATAATGGCTGTTTTCGGTTGAGATGTCTAAAAACCACGCCTCTTTCAGGATTACACAATAACGCTTTATCTGAATCAGTACTGGAAAGATGAAAGGTTGGCCTTCGGTCTGCCGGATGAGGTCCTGACTTTATCGGGGGACTTCGCCGACAAGATTTGGGTGCCAGATACGTTTTTTGCTAATGACAAAAATAGGTCAGTTCAACTTTACTTTATTTACTATAATAAAAGTGTAATTTAATACTATTGCTGACAGTTTTTAGTTATTTTGGTGGGAAGTCTGTCAATATAATTCTGGTACTTGGACACAGCTGATTTGCACAGTGGTGAGAACTCGGTCACGCTGTGACTCTACTATGATTGTAGCTCGGTTCGATACCTGCACAACACAACCATTTTGTGAATGAACAATGTATCTACAACATAATATCTGTATTTTAGATTAATATTCTATGTAGGATTAAGTAATTATGTTATTTACAAACAAAATTAAAAGCAAAGTACTAACCTTGTTTGGTTTAGGACTATACAGTGCTGTATAAAATGGCACTTAATATTATTGACAAAAGTTTCATTTTAGCTTCCTCCACGACGTGACGGAGCGCAACAAACTGGTGCGACTTGGCGGCGACGGGAGCATCACCTACGGCATGCGCTTCACAGCCACCCTGGCCTGCATGATGGACCTCCACTACTACCCGCTGGACAGCCAGAACTGCACCGTCGAGATTGAAAGCTGTGTGACTCTTAACTTGTAACACGAGGCCGCTTCCGCTTCGCTTGGCCCGACTACACCAACATACGGCAGAGCATTGCACTCATGCACCATTATCCATTGGAGTTTATGTGACCTTGACATACATTACCACCACCAGCGAGAGATGGTTGATAGTGAACTGTTTTATTTGCCCTGCAGCCCACAGCCCTAATATGTATAAGATGTGGTATCAGCTCAATCAGAATGAAGGTGCTCTGAAGTACAGACCCATTCTTTTTTTTTGGAGAATTAGGTTGAGGTCAAATCGAGAGAGTACGAAGTCTAACAACTTACAGGGCAGATCTGTAGTTTGAATCATCCTAGACAGCATCTCACTTAACATGAGGAGGCCTAAGATGAGCGCCGTGATAACTTTTATCGACGTCAAAATGTATGGGCAAAATCGATAAAATGGCATGACAACCGCTTATCGCGGCGCGCATCTACAGGTGCGATTGTGGTCAAATATCTGCCTTGTTCTGCATTTAAAAACTAGTAGTATGAAAGTTGACCTACTGATCTAAATAAACAGTTTAAAATGTGTAAATAATAATGTATGTCAGGGGCATATCTTCATAAATGACATTGATATTTTCTTACTTTGACATTACCAGGCCGAGCTTCTGCGATGCTTCGCTCGCTCGAGATCAACAAAGGCCGCCAGCCACTACATAAAAATGGAAATTAAATATTGCATATTCACTGCAATCGGTATTATACACAGACGCTTCGCTCTCCTGGAACTCAACGTTTAACATTTCGTAACCATGTTAGCATTTTACACATGCACGTAATAAACACATTCGCTTTAAAAGCCCTTTCATAAATTACCTTAATCTCATTAATTACCACATTTTACTGCTTTAGATGTTTTCCTCCCCATATCAATTGCTAGTTGATTAATATTTTACGTTTCAAATACTAAACAAATATAAGTACTATGGATTGGCCATTAATTGAACACACAAATTAAACAGAATTCCAACAAAAATAAACACACAAAAACTTGAACAAATAAAAAATAGGGCTGTTACACATTTATAAAGGCTGGATTGGTACCGTCTCGTCACTTTTGTCAAAATGTAAAATCAAGCTGTGAGGCGTTTCCGTTCCATTGCCGAGTCGTTACGTAGGTGTTCGTAAAGGACAAAGCACACTTATCAACCTAGAAACGGATCATAGCTGTATCAACTCGAGGCGGTCAGTATTCTTTAAACGCCTCGCCTCCCGGTTGACAGAACGCGAAAGGCGATACGGCGGCCCTTTTCGGGTTGATAAGTGTGCTATGGCCTAACAGACATAAACCAGCATTCTAACGTGAGTCATACCTACAGATGGGTACACGGTGTCCGACGTGGTCATGTACTGGAAGGAAACACCGGTGCGGGGCGTGGAGGACGCGGAGCTTCCGCAGTTCACTATACTGGGACACGAGACTAATGACAGAAAGGTATACGTGAGTTTGTGTGCGATCGATTGAAATCGAAGTTTTTGTATGCTGACTATACATATAACTTAACTTAGATACTTTTGTTGTTATAACGTCTGAGGAAGTTGGAGGTGCAGTTTCCATCCATTTTGTTAAATTTACTCTGTATGTCACTGTTAGCTTACAACGAGCTTATGCTGTATGTAGTAAAATATAAGATAGTACCAAAAAGGTGCGCATTAGAGCAGGGGTAATTAACAAAGTAACGTTAGCATTGAACAAAATTTTTCATATACATCAATTCTTATGTTGACGCTACAGCGCTTGATCGACCGATCAAATGTCGGAGGTCAGCATTCCCTCGCTGCATAGAGCTTTGTCCGACAAAATTGCCGATCGCCGATACTAGAAGTGTTGAGTGCACGAGTGCTCTTACCAGGGGCAGTTTCACAGAGCTGACACTTTTCAGGAGAAATTGGCGACGGGCGTATATCAGCGGCTGTCGCTGAGCTTCAAGCTACGAAGGAACATCGGCTATTTCGTATTCCAGACTTATTTACCGAGTATACTTATCGTGATGCTCTCGTGGGTGTCTTTCTGGATAAACCACGAGGCTACTTCAGCCAGAGTTGCTTTAGGTAAGCTTTGAGAGTCGTGGAAATTAAGTAGTTATCAGAGTGATAGCTTTATAAAAATATGTAAAACAGTATGTGCAGTATCTATCTAAGATACAACAAATCTAAGTATCTCTTTACATTTGTTTTTATTTTATTGGAAAACACAACAGATGAGCCATTTATAATCTATAGCATTATATGGTGTTGAACAAGAAAGTAATCCTTTAGATTTGTTTGTTTGCCGAGAACTTTTGCTAGTGTTCGATTCTTTAACTGGCGGTTATTTTCATCGATGTAGAGAAACCGCGCAAGTCACCAGCGCGACTTCGCGATACTATTTCAAACGTAAACAGATATTAAAAGTATATTTCACTCCTGCAGGCATAACCACAGTGCTAACGATGACGACGATTAGCACGGGAGTTCGAAGCAGCCTTCCTCGTATCTCCTACGTGAAGGCGATCGACATCTACTTAGTGATGTGCTTCGTGTTTGTATTCGCTGCGTTACTCGAGTACGCCGCAGTAAACTACACGTACTGGGGCGCGCGGGCCAGGAAACGTGCGAAGTTAAAGAATCGCGAGCAGATGTCTACTAGCACGAGTGTGGAGAAGGACTTGAAGTGTTCTACGGGTGAGGTTTTGTTATGATTACAAATATTATGATACACAAAAAATATGTATGACCAAGTTATAAGATCGCAATCAATAAATTACCATGTAGAGATTAATATACAGGGTGGAATTTTGTAATGCCACCTGGAGGGAAAGTACTGTTAATATTGTAGATAGAAAAATTTTCTCAAAGAAAACATTCCTTTATTTTTGAAAAGCAATAGAACTGCATTCAAAGATTTCCAAAAATTTGCTTGCTACACCTGGGAATCGAACCAACTAAAATCTGTTAAAAATTACACCCTGTATTTTTATTGCATCGATCGTTAGGGTCAAGTATAAGGATGAAATCTCTCTAACAAACTTGATAAATCAAATGAAAGGAAATCCATAAAATCTTAAATTATTTTAATCATGTACTACAGAAATTTGTATGGTATGATAGTGAATTTTCGAAAAGTTTTCGAAAATCTATGAATGCAGTTCCCTTTCTTTTCAAAAATAAAGGAAGGTTTTCTTTCAGTAAAATTTTCTATCTGCAGTATTAAGAGTACTTTCCCTCCAGGTGGCATTACAAAATTCCACCCTGTATACTTGAGTGATTTAACAAATCATAATTTGAAAGTTAATCACAAAATAACCCAAGGGCGGTTTTCTGACTTACTTTTCTGGTTATTTCTATGCGAATTCTGCAATACAACCGTTATTCAAATTATTATTTTATGGCTGTATGTAGTAGGTACTCTTAAATAAATCTATTCAAAGATGCTTTCTAACTTCATTCAGTTAATTACTAATTTCTATTTTCCTCCAGGCTCACGGTCTCCTGAAGAGATCATAGCCCTCCGAGAGTGCACAAGCAGCGCTGGGCGAGTGTCCCCACTGCTGGGACTGCGCTCGAAGCCGCTGCCCGCGACCACGGGGGCGCCACCCTCGCTCCGCATCCAGCGGGACCACACTCATCTGCGGTACCGCACGCGGCCGCATTCCAGAACTTCCAAAAGTTTGTATTCCAAATTCTCAACCCTTTGATATAACCTACTACTGCTTTTATGGTAATCAGTTAAAACTGACTTTTAAGAACGTTGTAAACGGAACCTCATAAGAAAAAAGTAATTTTTGCTTGTTGAAGTTTCACCAGTTAGTCAATGATCAGTTTCCCGTATTATGAAAACTTTTTTTTCTGTTTATATCGCCAGACTAATGATGGATGATCGAATTAAATAGTATCTTGTAAAGAAAGTTACATCAGAGTTTAAGTCCTTAGAATGTTATTCACAGGTAAAAACTGGTTTATATCTTATTTTATTTATATTATTTAATCATTGCTCTATGATTAATGTACTGACTAATGAACAGATGGCCAAATGTAAAAATTGATAAAATTGATTTAATTGTTTGAATTTAATTTGTTTGAAGATATTATTATTATACCTAATTATTAATTCTATCTTATGACTATATGTTGAAATAAATGACTTATTATTATTATATATTTCTGTTACAGACGGTTCTACAGGCAAGCCGAAAATGATCCACGCCCTGCGTCGTGGAGCCACTGTTATCAAAGCGTCCATGCCAAAAATTAGAGATGTTAATGTCATTGACACATATTCACGCGTGATCTTCCCTGTCTGCTTCCTCGTATTCAACGCGGTATACTGGGTCTTCTACATTATTGATTAATTATAAAAAAATAATAAAAATCACAGTGAGTTCGTGGCGTAAAGTATTAGAGCCAAATCCATTTCACGTCCCTAGTGGAAAATCAAAATACTATTATCACACAGTTGTAATTTTTTACTCTAAAAGGGGTTTCAAAAGCAGACATTAAGGACGATTCCCGTAACATATCCCACAAGAAAATAATTAGGAATAAAATTAACAAGGAGTACTTAGTAAAATAAATATTGACAATTATTAAGGCACGATCCATTCCAATAATTAATATATCTATATTTTAACAATAATTGCTATAAGATTCACAGCATTATGAAACAAAAACATAGAGAACATACAATACTATGTAAATTTTAAATCGAATTTTGTTGTTTAAGTACTTAAGTGTTCAGGAATGTAATGAGAAGTTCACATACAAAATAACATGATAAGAATTGGTGATTATTATTGTGATCGGAGAATACGTGCCAAAAGTGAGGCCAAAGTTCAATGTTAATACTTTAGTAGTGCTAAATGTCAGTAGATTAGCTCATTTGCATGTAACTAAACTGCCAATCACATTTTAATAAAGAGAGAATAAACGCAACAAAAGGGAAGCGAATGATTATTATGAATGCTTACACTCTACTATACTATACACTGTCCTATTAGGTATCGAATGATCTTCAAATAATCTATGTGTAATATTAATCGTGGAATAAAAAGTAATAATTATGGTGCAAACAAGTTCTAATACCAATTTACATTATAAATGTATTAAATTCAAACGAAGCATACTGACTTTCTCGGTCTAATTCTTTCATAGATATTGTATAAAATACTTGAATTTTTCTTTAGATAATAAATAACTAATTTAACATAACTGTAAAAAAGCGTTTTAAAGATATCAGAGAGCGAAATTTCATTTATCAAGAATGCGGAATATCAATCAATATATTGGTGAAATGTTTCAACCATTTATTTTATAAATGAAGAACTATAGTTGTTTAATCGTTGTAAATATCGATCAATCTTTATAGAATGAACGTATAGCATAAGTGATGATAACACGTAGTTGAATTGATGTTTATAATAGAGAAGATTGCAAGCCAATAGTTTAATTATATTACGAAAGAAAGTTGTAAAAATAAAGTTTATTATCAAAATTTTGTTTTACTTAAAACCTTATCCTGAAAGCCAGTAAATATTTTGAGATAAGACACTCAACAATCATAAGGTTCTACTCGTATAACATGTATAATATACGAAATATTAAATGGATAGAAAAGTTCAAAATTATTATCCCACAGAATTCCGCGACCCAATATTTTGATATACATAACTGCAACTACCTAGCTACACAAGATTTCTGGTGAACAGTGCATCCCTTCACGTAGAATAACTTAAGAAAGCGAAAGTTCCTCACATCGTAGCGCCATCTCTCCGCAAAGCGAAATTATCCCTCCGAGGCTTTTGTAAAAGCTCGAACCTGAGGTTTCAGCGATGCTTAACGTGATTTTCGCCATCTATCTCAGTTTGCCTCCAAGTCAATTTATGTCTGGCAAAATTACTTGCAACCGAACCTCTGAAATCTAACAGATAGAGAACGCAACCTTTTTCGTAAGATGTCGCTATGGAATGTTAATAATAAAAACAATTGAATATTTTTTTTGTTTTATAACATGCGGTATTAATCTATCTATGATCACACCGTATCTATTTGACGCATTATCAAAATCTATATTAGTGAATATTAGACTAAATGATTGCTACCTTTCAATAGAGAAGTATTAAAAATACAACGGTAACTAGTCATTTCGGGAATATTATAGAAATGTAGAGTTAACATTGAAATTTCATAAAAGCTACAAATTGGGTCCTAATTCATAGAAATCAAGAAGGTCCAACGAAACATTGAAATAATTAACGCAAAATTAATTTAGGACTACTCTTATAAAGAATCGAACTATATTTATAATCACTACATCTATTTTCATCAGGCGTTATTCAGAGTCACCGATACAATAAATGTAGGAGAGTGTTGAAAGGGATTTATATAGGAGCAAGGCTGGGGCGGCCGCGTCGCTCCATTCATCGATGAGGCGGCGGCTGCGCGGGGTGCGGGCGGCCGAGCGAGCTTCGCAGCCTTCATAGTACCGCTTGAGTCGCACGGCGGATACGGCGGCTTTCGAGCCGCCACTAACAACAACCTGGTTCTCTGTGCAGTTTTGTTGGACAAGACTCAGTGTTGTGTTGGAGAGAATTTCAGTGCGCCAACTGGACCATGCTTTTCGCTTTGGAGTAAGGTACGGGATTTGGAGTGTACTTGTATGTGAAACGTCACAGGTAGAGCTTTAACTTACATTTGTTTACAATTACATTTAGCACTCTAAATGTCAATTAATCTAAGTATATTTTCGGTTAGCTAATCAATCAATGGATGAGCTGTGGAAGTAAGCAAAAAATGTATGATCACGAAACCCGTGGGCGGCTGAAGGTGTAGAGTTACAGCACGGCGCGGGGGCGGGCGGCGGCCGTGGGCGCAACTCGCCGCGCAGTCCGAACCCGTATTGATTGCTTGACTTTCATACTTTGCTAAATATTGTTACAATAAATAACATTTTTACGAACCGCCTTAAGAGAACTGAGACACATTTAGGTCCAACTATAAAACACAAAGGTTTTTCTTTCGGTAATAAAACTACCTATTACGTACGTAACATAAATTACCTATCGTAATATAAATAGTACATATTACACATTATTTCAGGAAAATATAACGAACTTTAACCATAATATAGCGATATTAGCACAAAAGTATTTAAATGAAAGAGAAAGAAATATTGTCTAAGAATGAACAAAAACTAACCACGCTTAAGTAAGTCCACAACTGCGTCATTAATGGTTAGATAATAATGAATAACACGTCACATTTAGGCAATGAAAGTATAATTAATACATTATGTACTAAGTCAATGACAAAAGTAATATTTTTCGATGTTTCATGTTATTGAAGATGTCTTAATAGTTAGTGCCGATAAAGCCTTTTTAGACAGAGCCGACGACGATAGAAAGCTTTAGGGCTAGTCTGCAAATAATTTGGCATCAGCACATTCGTGTTATTTAATTAAGAGTTACGTTTTATATTTTAATACTTACGTGTTATTATTTTTCGTTAAACAGCTGTTCCTGATCAATGATATTCATGATCAATTAATTTAAAATGTAACAGAAGTGAAAATCATAGTAAAGCTTTTCACAACTTACAACATTTTTCAATTTTTAAGATTTGTTGTGCAGGGACAGATAGTAAAAATAACAATGTTTAAAAAATTTTAATACCTTTCGTATTTAGATTGAACGTTAAAAATCTTTAAATATATACGGAAGTACTTAATTTCATTGAGGCATAACCTAATATTTACGTCGATACTTTGAAAGCTATAGCGCTTATTACCAACTATCAATTCATTCCAAACGGATATTTCGGTCTATTTCCATGCAAACATAGTTAGTTTGGTTGTATGTGTAATAAGTAGCAATATGGATTAAAGCGCTGGTTGGTTGGAAGCCGGTGAAAGAATCCCTAGGGTTGCGCCGAATCGCGAAAAGCCTTAGGCGGGACCTACAGGCTTCTAACAGCACAATCTGTACCTCTGTTCATTGCGGTGATATTTATAGTGCGCGATAACTCGGTCGGAGCTAGTTCAGATATTCTCTATACATTGTAAATGGTTCTAGCTATTATTTGAGCAAGGACGAACGTGGGTGTTGACTTAACGATGCTAATTCTGTGACAACTACCCGAATGTTCGTTAGGGGCTTCTGAAAGAATTGGACGATAAAAATAAATTCAGCAAGGTCTCCAACTGCAAACTCTAACTGCGTAGAATGCGCGGCGCGCTGCGTAGTGAATGAAAATGGGATCAACAAGTAGCTAGTAAGAGTCGCCTATACCGCGCAGGCGCCCTACCAGGGGTATAACCAACATGGCTGCTTAAAAAGCTCGCCCTTAATTTGCAACACGGTTCTTTAATTAAAACAGAACAATAAATAAGTGGTGACAAGTGACGATCTGGAGATGATCAAAGTGAAATAACTAGGTGATCGAAGTGCAACAACCGATTTTTCTAACGATTACGGTAGTGCTGTGTGTAGGTAAGTGAAAATTTCATGAATCTTCTTAGGTAGGTATTCCGTTTTCTAATATAACTACCACGGCCAGTTCTACTTCATTCATACTGTTTTATATGAAATCTATATCAGTGTTTTGTTATTCATTCCGCGCGAAGCTGCGCCGCCATTAACATTTTCGTTTTGTCGTTTCGACATAGAATACCTAATAAAAAGTAATCTCAACTCGACGTAGCAGGAACTGTGTAGTACGAACAAATGAAAGGTTTTATCACTTACAATCACATACCTACTAAATATGCTTTAGTGAACTGATAACATAATTTAATAGTTTTAGCAAGTTGCTATATTTTGGTTTTATCTATTGACGATTTTATTATATACCATTACCTATAAATAAATACTACACTGCTGGACAAAAGCCTCCCCCAAGGATTTTCACATTTTCCGGGTTATTTTCAACGGTCTAAATTGTGATGTTTGTTTCTCGTATAGCCTGAACTTAATGCTTATTTAGGTACTTAATAGGTAGTGTTACAATAAAATGTAATATTGAATGCCACGGAACATCGAATTATCTAACTATAATAGTACCGATGTGTAAGGGTTGGGTTCACCACAGAATGTCGATTTATCCAAACATAAGTAGTTCTCAAATATAATATTTACAAACTCATTAACTAGTATGACAAATATACTGTATACTAATTAACTGTATGTGTGTATGTTCACTTGGGCTGATGATAATATTGTTTATGTTCGTTTAGATACCGCGCCGAGTGTTCTGCCGGCGAACCATGAGCCAGCGGGCGCGAGAGAGTGCCCGGGCGCCGGCTGCGCAGGTCACCTAGGCGATGCTGCTGCTACTGCTGCGCACGAGCGCCTCCACGATGCCTGCGCCACTCGCTGTATACGTCATCTCTCTAGCCTTCTTTTGGATATGTGGTAAGTGTTTCATCTCATTCGTTGTTTTACGACAAACTGTCTTTTGAAAGAGATGGGAAAGTTTTCGAGAAGATCTAATCGCTTTTTCATAATAATCTGTTAAGATTTGGAAGTGGTGGGAAATTTTTAAGGAAATCCCGATCTAAGTTTGGACGTCCAGCATAAAGGACAAGAGATTTCCGTCTTAAATAGTTCGTTTTATGATCGTGTGCGTTTGACTCACATTTAGCCAAATTAGATAAAGACGAAGATAAAGCAAAACAAAACTTTCCGTCAGATGAGATGCAGGAAAATAGCTTTCCCCGTGCAGGTGGTTAAAAAGAAATAAGACAAATTACAGTCTTGAATTCGTTAACCTCATTTGTTCCTTTTTGCAGTTTCATTAGGTGAGATAGAAGCCATAAGCTTTCCCCTTGTGGTAAAAAAGAGGATTGCAATCTACATATAATTCGTTGTTATAGCTAGTTTCTTTTCTACAGTGCTTGCGGACGACCCATTCCCGGTGGGGGCCAGCCGTCCCGCCAACAGCACGGTGGGGCCGGCGGACCCCCGGTCCGTGATGGGCCGCGTGCCGCCGTACCAGCCGCCAGCGATGGGCAACGGCCCCATCTCTATGCAGGGCCCCCCGGTGTTCCGGCCCCACAGCCCGTATACGCGAGTTGAACCGTGGAATCGTAAGTACCTCTAATATACCTAAGCTACTTAGGTAATAGTACCTTCTTCCACTAATTAAACTTCTTTTATCACCCTAAACCCTTATTCTGTAACAAGTCCACTAAAAAGTAAAGACAATAGACCAGAAATTATTAACTGTCTACATTTTTGGACATAAATAAAAACCTGTGCTATTCAGCACTGTCACACAACTGTTTTCCTTTCTATCTGAACATAATCTTTCTTTTCTTTCCGCATGCATTAAGTTAAGTTTTTGTTCTCAGCTCATCCACTTTTCGAGAAACATCCCTTCGACGTCGTCGCTGAAGGAATGGACGGCAACGACGACGATGGCGGCTGCAACCAGCCTTGCCTCAGCCAACATTTTTCGTGTCAAGTGAGTCAAAGATTACGATAATGTTACGAAATTAGATCCATTTGACGACTCTGAACGAATAAAATGAAAGCTTAGAAATCAAAGAAAACTCAAGGGAAACTTACAATGATAAATATATTTATTGTGAACTTACATGCACATAACACTGTACTATCGGCAACAGTGTTAACTGCCCATTGCCGGTCATGTCGTCTCGTTCTATCACAAAGAATCACCATTTGATGAGAGCGAGAGCAAAAACGGGAATGGATAGTTAACACTGTGGTCGTGGCCCGTGTGTACATATGGCGAACATATAAATAGATTGTACGACAAGTTACATAATTAAACGCAGTAAATATTCTGAAATAATATCCACTTTGTTACAAAACAAAGAACAACGAAAAGCGATTATGTCTTCATAGGTTTTCATCGTCCTAAACTTAGGTAACGATCAACAAAAGCTGAAAAGTTTTAAATGGGAAATGGTGACGAATGAGTGACCACAATAGCCTAATATTTTGTCGTAGATATCGTGCACGTGCATCCCTATGGAGAAGCGTTGCGACGGCGTGGCGGAGTGCGCGGAGGCCGAGGACGAGGCCGGCTGCGCGCGCTCGTGCGACGAGCACGAGAACCGCACCATCTGCCACACCACCAACGTGTGCATCGCGTTGGACTGGCTTTGCGATGGGGACAACGACTGCGGCGACTTCTCCGACGAGACTCATTGCGGTGAGATTAGTTTTAGATCACGCATGTTTAAGGCAGGTCGAATTGACAAGCGCGGGGAAGCAACGATCGTGGCGACCACGAAGTATGTAGAAGACGCAGCATGTGTAGGTTGACCCGATGGTCCCATGAGTTAGGGTTGCGCGAATTCGCTGGATGCCTAAATCTAGCTCGTGCGACGAGCACGAGAACCGCACCATCTGCCACACCACCAACGTGTGCATCGCGCTGGACTGGCTCTGCGATGGGGACAACGACTGCGGCGACTTCTCCGACGAGACTCATTGCGGTAAGATAAGTTTTAGACCGGGCATGTTTTGGCAGGTCGCAAAACTGAAAAACACACGGAAGAAACGATCGTGGCGACCACGAAGTATAAAGAAGACGCAGCATGTGTAGGTGAACCCGGTGATTCCTTGACTTAGTTAAGAGTTGCGGGAATTCGCTGGATACCTAAATCTAGCTCGTGCGACGAGCACGAGAACCGCACCATCTGCCACACCACCAACATGTGCATCGCACTGGACTGGCTCTGCGATGGGGACAACGACTGCGGCGAGTTCTCCGACGAGACTCATTGCGGTAAGAATAGATCAGGCATGCTTATGACAGGCTATGGTAGGTTGCAGAATTGATAACCGCGGGGAAGAAACGATCGTGGCGACCACGAAGTATGTAAAAGACGCAGCATGTGTAGGTGAAGCCGATGATTCCTAGACTTAGTTAAGAGTTGCGGGAATTCGCTGGATGCCTAAATCTAGAGCACGAGAACCGCACCATCTGCCACACCACCAACGTGTGCATTACGCTGAACTGGCTTTGTGACGGGGATAACGACTGTGGCGACTTCTCCGACGAGACTCATTGCGGTGAGATAAGTTTTAGATCGGGCATGTTTTGGCAGGTCGCAAAACTGAAAATCACACGGAAGAAACGATCGTGGTGATCATGAAGTACATAGTATGTAGAAGATTCAGCATGTGTAGGTGAACCCAGTGATTCCTTGACTTAGTTAAGAGTTGCGGGAATTCGCTGGATACCTAAATCTAGCTCGTGCGACGAGCACGAGAACCGCACCATCTGCCACACCACCAACATGTGCATCGCACTGGACTGGCTCTGCGATGGGGACAACGACTGCGGCGACTTCTCCGACGAGACTCATTGCGGTAAGAATAGATCAGGCATGCTGATGACAGGCTATGGCGGGTTGCAGAACTAACCACGAGGTATGTAGAAGGCGAAGCATGTGATCTACACAAGCTGTGTCTTCTACGAGTAGGTACATGCTTCGGGTCCGGGTTCACCTGAACCCGGTGGTCCCATTTTTTTTTTTTTTTTTTTTTTTTTGTGTTAGGGGGCAAACGAGCAAACGGATCACCTGATGGTAAGTGATTACCGTCGCCCATAGACACCCGCAGACCCAGGGGCGTTACAGGTGCGTTGCCGGCCTTTAAGGTAAAGATACGCACTCCTCTTGAAAGCTTGCAGGTCGTATCCGTCCGGAAACACCGCAGACGACAGTCCATTCCACAGTTTGGTTCCCATGACTTAGGGTTGCGAGAATTCGCGGGATGCTTTAATTTACCTCTCGACATCTAGAAGCTGTATTTGGGCGTTGACATTGAAATTGGTATACTTCTGCGACATCATCAATATTGTGCACGACGGACGGCCTCCGAAACATGATAGTTGTAAAATAGTTTTCGTTTTGTTTCAATTTGTATCGTGTTTTATTTCGTTTATATAGTTTGACAGNTGGACTGGCTCTGCGATGGGGACAACGACTGCGGCGAGTTCTCCGACGAGACTCATTGCGGTAAGAATAGATCAGGCATGCTTATGACAGGCTATGGTAGGTTGCAGAATTGATAACCGCGGGGAAGAAACGATCGTGGCGTCACGAAGTATGTAAAAGACGCAGCATGTGTAGGTGAAGCCGATGATTCCTAGACTTAGTTAAGAGTTGCGGGAATTCGCTGGATGCCTAAATCTAGAGCACGAGAACCGCACCATCTGCCACACCACCAACGTGTGCATCGCGCTGGACTGGCTCTGCGATGGGGACAACGACTGCGGCGACTTCTCCGACGAGACTCATTGCGGAAAGAATAGATCAGGCATGTTTATGAGAGGCTATGGCAAGTCGCAGATTCGGGTCCGGGTTCACCCGAACCCGGTGGTCCCATGACTTAGGATTGCGGGTTGGGCCTTAATTTACCTCTGGACATCTAGAGATACTGATGATTTGGGGGTTGACATTGAAATATTTTGGTATACATCCGCGACTCATCAATATTTGAATGTCTTGAAACAGTGTTTCTTTAAGTAATAATTACAAATGAATAGAAATTGTCAATTCTTATTTTTCTCCAAATCTAGCACGAAGGCGAGATACCTAATATGATAAAATGTATCAAAATTCCTAAAATAAGCAAATAACACAGGAGCTGAGAACTGTACCGAAGAGCAGTTCTTGTGCGGGAACGGACTGTGCATCCACAAGGACTGGGTCTGCGACGGCGACAACGACTGTCGCGACAACTCTGACGAGACCAACTGCACCAAGGGCCAGTGAGTAATAGCTCTATCTTTTTTCCCAGTTATAGAAACACATGTTTAAAAAATTAAAATAATCACTGTGGTCATCTTCATCCTATTAAAGATATTTTAGTGCACAAATGCTCTGAGCCTGCTTTTTTGTTGCACTGTTCAGTGTAGAAACATTGCACAAACAATGACTAAGTATACTTAATACAATTATTGCAATGACCTACCGCCCTCAGTGTTTTTCTAACGAATACAACAGCACTCATCCGTTTAGGCGCATAGATAATGTGCCCAAACTAACGTTAATAATATCAAATCATAACCACGTTTATCAACTTTTTGTATATTTTTTATTCTTCTTTCTTTTTATTTTTCTTGTCTTGTATGGTGTACAGGTACAATAAAGTGTCTAATATCTCTAATAAGAAATCTTCGTATAAGAAACTGTTCTGTTCAATGTTTTACATTTACAAGCAAAATGATTAAAATATACCACTTGACATCAACAGGTGTAAGTAGAAGCTCCAGCAAGTGTTGCAGATACCTGCTATTTTTAAGCACATTATGACGAGTTCTTGTTTTTATAATAAACTTTTAATGTAGGTTGATAATAGAGTGGGTTGTTCTCTATAAATACGCAATTATAGTTATGTCTAAAAATACTTTCGTGTTGGCCAAGTTAGACATCTATTTTTAGTTTTATATCTCCATTCTAGCTGAATAACTAGTTGGGTAACAATTATAGCATCCCTCGACTTTTCTGAAACACGTCATTTATCAGTTTTTGAATTCTAACTTTAAATTGGTCTAAGAATTTGGAATCTTGGCATAGAATTGGAATTTGGACTAATGATCGGATTGTTAATTCCATTTAATCCAGCGTAGCCTGTCCTACCGCAACGTAACCGGCACATCAGTTCCACCCTGTATATCAAGGCTAACATTAATTCAAGACGACCTCTGCTTATAAATAAACATGTTGTTATCCCCCTATTCACAATGTTTATTGATTGGGTTCCTACACAATCATATAATTTGGATACAAACAAAAATAATGCTAATATTGTAGGTATTCTACTAATGGCTATAGAGTATTGATGTCAAGTCGGTATTTTCCTGTTAGTTTATCTTTTTATCATTCTTGGATATACATTTTTGGCAAAAAGGTTAATTTTATTTAGCTAAATGACTGCAATTTGAATTAAAAATATTGTCAAGTAAACAAAACTATTACTTTCATTAAAACATTTCAGCGTTGCATTCAATTAAGGCCAATTAAATTCACCAAACAATAATGAACTCGTATGCTCATTTGTAGTGCATCAATTAATAAAATTGGTTACGTAACCGTTGGGCTATAAATGTTTGAAAATATAAATTTCGTGAAATTAGCGCCTCTGATGACGCTTCAAAGTACACTATACTGACTATTGTAACGATATTAGATGGTGTATCAAAGAAGTTAAGTATCCTTATATACCTACATGTTATTCTAAAAAGTTACATTGATGTTAATTCCATACTAATGTCACTTTAAATTAGGTTTCTTCAATGCGCGTGTAACTTTTATTAGTAACTAGCTGACCCGGCGAACTTTGTTCCGCCTTAATGGCAATAAATAAGCAGACTTTTTTTTTAATTTCGAACGGGATAAAAAGTATCCTATGTCCTTCTCCTGGCTCTAAACTACCTCCCTGACAATTTTCAGCTGAATCGGTTCAGCCGTTCTTGAGTTATAAGCGAAGTAACTAACACGACTTTCTTTTATATATATAGATAAGTACCTACTCATAAATACTGTATTTAAGCCACAACCCAAGTGCTACTGGAATGACATCACAAAAGTAGCTATCTTAAAGCTGATGACGTCATCTCTGAAGTAAACATGAGGGTTGTTGCACCGTGGGCGGCATAATAATCTATGAATTGATTCTCTATATTGGCTCTTTGGGTTTCAAAAATAGCACGCTTAGAGATCTTCGCTACGAAAACAGAATGTTAATATGCTCAAGACTTCAATTCATTCATTTTTATGCGAGACTGAAATAATGATAGCTTTTGAAAAAATTTGGAAGGCTGCTATAATACGAGTACAACGATATGATTTACCTAAGGCCATCAAGTTAAACTGATTACGTAGTTAAGAATGAGGGTGGAACAACTAAGACACTTCTCGATCTAAACTGATTTTTGAAAAATCATAATAAATGTTGAGAATTGAGTTGAGTTGAGAAATGAATTGCGATAAGTAATTCATGCATTTTCTTCAGCTTAGCCTGTATGCCAATAAACTTTTTTGTGATGGGGTTATTAATTAATGAAACAATAAAAGAACAATAGTAATCACAAATCCTGTAACTAAGAGGAGTGACGTCTCAACAATTACGACTTTTAAGAAACAGAGTTATTTTTACGTGTTCATAACATTTTCAGGTTCATATTTTAGAAGCTAACTTAAATAGACAGCCAACTTAATGAGCCTATCATTAAATCAGACTAACGATTTTATCGTTGTTTTAAGAAAGGTAAAACTTTCACGATTTCAATTACCTACATAATTTCTCAGTTTTCTTAAGTTTCTGGAGACTTACCATTTCTTTTGAATTCGTCATAGTATTTTTGGAAACAAAAACGACTTTTTGCTATTCTCGATTTCGCTAGTTTTCGTCGTCACGGGCATTATTTTTCTGTAATTGGCGTACATCGGGTTGCTTGTAATGGTCGGTAGATCAATACGATGTTGCAAGGCGGCTCGGGCGGGGTGGAGGCGGGCGGTTGCCATGGCGACGCGCCTACGCGCAGCCAGCGGGCGCCCGATATATCCCGTTCCCGTAGGCGGGCTCATTATAGAACAAAATCATCGATATGATTAACGTTGGCAATGAATGTTTATAGGTACTTTGTGCGTAATTACGCCGCCATTGGAAAGATTGGGACCGAATTAACAATTTGATGTTATTCATAAAAATAAGTATGATAAACATCTAGTATAGATAGAACATACTTTGTTATTTCAATCCGTATTATATTAAGCTTTTACTTTCTTTTTTTTGTTAACTGTAAGTAGTTTACTTCGCAGGTGCCGTGACAACCAATTCATGTGCGCAATGGGCGAGTGCATCGCCAAGCACTGGAAGTGTGACAAGGAAGCCGACTGCCCCGACAGCTCCGATGAGGCCGATTGCCGTGGTTCGTTATCTCGTGCGTAATATAATAATATTAAGTATGGCTTTATTTAGCAGCACCGAATATTTAAACTAAAATAAAAGAAAGGAGGGTACCCAATCCACCTGTGTTTCAAAGTTACAGACAAGTATACGAGATAAGAGATATCAATAAAATTTTCAACGAGATCTTCTGTCTGAGGATTACATAATCAAAAGGATTGTAATCACAATACAATTGTAATTTTTATTATTTACAACACTTATTACACGAATGTCCAAATGTGAAGATACCTACACGAACATAGTCTTTTACACGAAAATCCATGATACTAAAATGTAATGCTCTTCAATTGACAGAAGTGGACCTCCTCCGTTGTGGTGAGAGCGAGTTCCAATGCGACAACAAGAAGTGCATCCGCAAAGAGTTCCAGTGCGACGGCGACAACGACTGCGGCGACTGGACTGATGAAGACTCCTGCCCCATGATGCCGGGGAGCTGTAACGCGGGGGAGTTCAAGTATGTTCATTGAATTTTCTTTTACGAACCTCTAAATAAGCCCACTCTTCAGTGGCACCTAGTCTTAAACATAACATAGAAGCAGCCCACTTCACAAACAATAACACTGTAAAAGCATCATCAGTCATTCATTGCAATTTGACCTCAACAATCTTTAAATTTTCTATTGTCAACAGATGTAGCGACGGCAAATGTATCCCTGAACGTTGGCGCTGCGACTCCGAAAGGGACTGCGCTGATGGCGGTGACGAGCTGAACTGCGAGCCCCATGTTATGAGGAACTGTACCACTGAGGAGTACACTTGCACGGATCGGCGATGCATTTTGGTAAGTATCGGGAGTTTCAAATACGTACCTACGTAAATTTTGAAAGTTGTTTTAATTTGTATCACTTGGATATGATTTATATTAGAAAGTGCTGTGAGTGTGACGCTTGAACGGAAGGAAGTCAACCTAACCTAACCAACTGCGTATTTCTATACTGTGTAGCCGCAAGAGCTCTTTGGCGCGCTGTCTTCGGCGAAGTATTGCGCGCGCAGATTTTGACATCGCGAAATACCTACTTTAGCAGAAATACCAAGCCTTAAGCTACTTACCAAAAGGTTACCTACAACATTTTGAGGTATTCTAACAATATCTTAAATTTTACAGAAAACCTGGTTATGTGATGGAGTTCGTGATTGCACCAACGGCGAAGATGAGATGAACTGCCAAGTTTTTTGCGAAGAAGACCAGTACATGTGCAAGACTCAAGAACATCTGCTCAGCAACGCTTTTAGAAACTGCGTAAATAGAAAGCATGTATGTGACGGCATGAAGGATTGCCCACGGGGCGATGATGAGGAGAAATGTCCAACGAAAAGGAAGTGTACCCAAGATGACAAATGCGAAAGGGATTGCATTACTACGTTCGATGGTCTACTGGCCTGCGCTTGTCCTTTAGGATTCCTGTTAGCTGATGATGGTTATAGGTAAGCATTAAGCATCCAAAAATAGCTTATTATAAATCATCTTAGTAGTGTTTAAAAAACCTTTAACTTATATGACACCGTTATCTTGCAGTTGCCGTGATATCGACGAGTGCATGTACGAACAAGATCCAGTGTGCTCGCAAACATGCTCCAATACTGTAGGCAGTTTCCAATGTGGCTGTATGACGGGCTATATATTACGACCTGATGGACGATCCTGCAAGCCTACTGGGGAATCCCCTTCGTTGCTGTTCTCTAACCGTATAGGAATACGACAGGTTTGTTTTTCACCACTGAAAAATAACCCTCTTATTTCTGAACTTACTGTATTGATACGAGTATAATTTGATAATGTTTTGTAGGTGTGGTTGACTGGCGATAACTACATGTCGGTGGTCAAAGGTCTACATAATGCAGTTGCTCTTGATTACCACTACGAGAAAAAGCTGATATTCTGGTCAGAAAACAACTTGAGGGTTATTCGCGTAGCTGACGCTAATGGTACTATGAAAGGTAATTATCACATGTTCAGCTGAAATAAATCAAGGACTTATTAATTTAGGCGCAACTACATATCGACCAAAAATTCATGATAACTTCATTGTTTTTCCAGATGTCATAAAATGGGGCTTAGAAACGCCTGGTGGTGTTGCCGTCGACTGGATACACGATTTGCTCTTTTGGACCGATTCTGGCACTAGGCGGGTGGAGGTAGCAACTCTGAATGGTACTCAAAGAGCTGTGCTTGCAGCCAATGACTTGGACAAGCCTCGAGCTATTGCTGTCCATCCAGGAGACGCTTTAGTATTTTGGACCGATTGGGGTAAAATTTCAAACAAATCAGATTATATTTTTGGAGCAATTGTGAATCATCTTTTTATATCCAATAATCTACTTATATATTTTTATTTCTATAAATAGGTCCCAACCCAAAAATAGAGCGAGCAGATATGGATGGTAGTCGTCGGAAGAGCGTCATAGTAAACAGGATATTTTGGCCCAACGGCCTAACGATAGATTACACAGAGTCAAAGATTTACTGGGCTGATGCTAAGCATCATGTTATTGAAAGAGCTACTTTCGACGGGCGAGACAGAAAAAGGGTACGCAAAATTTTCAGACAAGATATTAATATTTATTGTGGAGTTCTGCATAACATTAATTTGATTTTTTTTTACAGATTACTAACAAAGGTCTACCTCATCCATTTGCAATAACGCTATTTGAAGATGCCATTTACTGGACTGATTGGCATACTAAAAGCATATCAACTATTAATAAGGAGACGGGAATGGGTATCCAAACTGTGCATGCCGGCCTAAATGTTCCTATGGATATACACAGGTAAATACATCACAGAACTACAGTCTTATTAAAGTTAGGTGGCTGGAACATTAATAATTACTTAACACCGTATTTTGCTTGTAGTTATCACCCCCTGAGGCAGCTAAAGACCTATAAGAACCGCTGCGGCCCTAACAATGGTGGTTGTTCTCACCTTTGCCTTCCAAACAGCAACGATCGGACCTGCCGTTGTCCGGTCGGATTTAATCTAAACCCTGATGGGTAAGTTACATAATATGAAGAGACATTTGGTAAGACATGATGGTGACTGAAATGATAATTAACTTAATTTTATTTCAGTCGAACATGTGAAGAAACACCAGAAAAATTATTACTTTATGCACGACGAAAGGACATAAGACTGAAACAATTGAATCCGAGAAAACAAACTGACTCTTTGGACATGGTAAGTTATTTGAATAACACGGTTTATTTTGATACTACATACGTAATATATTTTAATATTTCAACATCATAATAATGTAAATCTAAATTATATTGGCCTATCAGGTAATTCCCGTGGACAACATAAAGTCAGCAGTGGCATTGGATTGGGATCATAACACTAATTCAATATTCTGGACGGACGTAGAGAAGGACACTATCAACCGCGCCTATTTGAATGGTTCCCACCAGACTGTAATAGTCGGCTCAAACCTGAGTAAGTTTGTTTTTCTTACAGTTAACATAACACAGTATAAAAAAAAAACAAGATATCAATTCGTTTTTTTATGAATTTCAGTATCACCAGCCGGTCTTGCCTATGATTGGATAACGGATAAAATATACTGGACCGATGCTGGCACTAACAGGATTGAGGCAGCAAATTCCAATGGATCCATGAGAGCCTTGCTTGCATGGGAGAACATTGACAAACCTAGAGATATTGTCGTCGACCCTAAAGGTATTAAACCAGCTTCAACAATAAAATTAAATCATCATCATCATTTCAGCCATAGGACGTCCACTGCTGAACATAGGCCTCCCCTAATGCTTTCCACGTTGATCGATTGGTAGCAGCCTGCATCCAACAATAAATACATATGGTAAATTGATTAGACAAACTAATATTGAAGTTAATTTTCCAGGTGGAGTCATGTATTGGTCCGATTGGGGAACAACACCATGTATTGAACGTGCAGACATGGATGGAGGAAACCGTCAAAAGTTGATATTTGGGGAGATGACGTGGCCTAATGGACTAGCTTTAGATCTTGGAAGCAACCGCATCTATTGGACGGACGGGGGCAACCGCACTATTGAATATGCGAATCTTGATGGTACTGGAAGGACCATTTTGATTGGTAAGTGAATTAACATAAACGATACAAAAGTGTTAGTCATTTTAGATACACAGTGGTTACAGCTGTCTTATTTTCATTTTAGGTCAACATTTGCCTCATCCGTTTGGTTTGGACTTACATGGTGACGAAGTTTTTTGGACAGACTGGGATACACAGTCGATCCAGGCTGCTAACAAATATACCGGTAAAAACAGGCGAACTTTAGGTTCGGGAGTTGCAGGTCTGATGGATGTACGAGTCTTCCACAAGGACAGAATTGAAGGAGTCAACAGGTAACTTTTTAAATCTAATGTTACATTACATCATATTTGCGATTTAAATGAACCGAGATTTCCCAGTAGCCTAATCACTCGTACCTTGAAAGCCTTTGGGTTTATGAATTCGGGAATATTGGCAATAGCAGGGTAAATAAATAGAAAGGTTTTGATAATGGCAACTAACACTATTGAAATTATAAAAATGAATTTACTTTTTACAGATGCGGTAAAAACAATGGTGGATGTTCACATCTCTGTCTCTTGAAACCGGGAGGTTACACTTGCGCCTGCCCGATTGGAATCAAACTCACTGTAAGCTTGACATCATATACTAAGATATATTAAAGAAACAACTGTTGCGAATATGCTGAAAAACTTATCTAAATTAATATATTTTTTATTTTCAGGGGAATGGAAAAACTTGTTTGAACGGACCTGTAAACTACTTAATTTTTGCTCACCGTGTGGACATTCGTATTGTGTCCTTAGATGTGCCGTATTTGGTTGATGTTGTTCTTCCGCTACCACCATTAAAGAATGCACTTGGAGTGGATGTGGATCAACGAACCGGTATGTCGACCATTTAATTTTTCTGGTTAAAGAGCTACTTTTTATCATTATTTGAAACAGGAATTAATACATTATAACGCTTTTTCAGGCCTCGTTTATTGGACTGATACTGGAGAAAGAATGATCAAGCGGGCTCATAGAGAAGGCTACAACAATGAGACCGTAGTAGGGAAAGGTCTTCATACAGTGGACGGCATTGTCATTGACTCGGCTGGACGCAAGGTTCGTCGTATTACTCGTTACATATTTATTTGTTATTTAAATTGTGTGCTGTATTGTAAAAGAAACGTTGAATAGTCTACTATGCGCTACATTTATCAATTTTCTCTACAGATCTATTGGACTGACGGTGGCCGTAACAGCATCGAGGTAGCAGAGTTAAACGGCAACAATAGGAAGCTTCTGATATGGACCGGTCTAGGTAACTTTTGACGTTTTGTTTAAAAATGTTAAACTGAGAAAGATAAATTGAATAGTCTACATATGAATTTTTGCATTTTACAGACTCACCTAGGGCTATAGCGTTACACTATGAGGAGGGCTTCATGTTTTGGTCTGATTGGGGACAATCAGCCAAAATTGAAAGAGCTGACATGGATGGGAAAAACCGGTAAGATTTAAACATTATTCGTAAATACTTATCATCTTATGTAGACTTTAGACTTCATAGACCAAACAGGTATTTGTTAAATTCTAATTAATCTATGTTGCAATGAATAAACTTCTTTTTTAGACGCATCATAGTCGATAATAACATCAAATGGCCCAACGGCTTAGCCATTGACAACATTGAAGGTCGCCTGTACTGGAACGATGCTAAAATCCTAACGATAGAGAGCTCCGACTTCGAAGGCAACGACAGACGTGTAATTTTGAGTAAAGTGCCCTATCCTTACGGCATTGTTATTGTTGGACAACACATTTACTGGACTGATTGGAAGACTAAAGCTCTACATAGAGCCGATAAAGCGAATGCCAAAGATGGAATTATCATAAGAGAGAATCTAGAGGGCCTGATGGATATACGAGCTATTCAGGTAAGTTTCGTGCGAAATAATGACGCACATGGGTTTTGTCATGTTTGTGTATAATTACTTTAACATGTCTTTTTATGATACAGGGAGAACGAGTGCTAAATGATGCTTGTGGCACAAACAATGGAGGATGCTCCCATCTGTGTCTTCGATCACCCAAAGGATTCTCGTGTGCTTGTCCCACGGGTTTATTATTCGAAAATCAAACAGACCCCAATCCAAAGAAATGCAGGCAATATCCCGAAAACTACCTGTTCTTTGCTACAAGAGGAAGTCTTGCAATGATCTCGCTTGATACGCCGGAGCATTGGGATGTCAATCTGCCAATAAAGGAAGCTGATAATACCATCGCTGTTGATTTCCACTGGGAATACAAATTACTGTTCTACACCGATATCAATAGGAACTGCGTTAGGTTGGTCTTCTTTATTTATTTCTAGAATCTTTGTACACTAGTTAGGTATAGTATTAATTGAAGTTTACCTAATTTTTATTCCGTTAGTAATAATTTAATGTTTTCAGCACCATCGATATGCATGACATGAGCCGAAGCAAGATTATCGTTAAAGGCAGGCTTAACACACCCAATGGCTTGAGCGTTGATTGGATTGCCAACAACCTTTACTGGTCTGACAATAATTATAAGGTAATTATCATTTAAAATTCAACTTTTGACTATAAACTTTTTGAAACAACAAAGACTTACCTAAACTTAAAATGAACTTTGAATTATTGTTATAATTTCATAGGTTATTGAAGTGGCAAGGTTGGATGGATCATCACGGAAAACTTTAATTACTGGGCTCAAGGAACCTCGGGCACTAGCTTTGTTCCCAGCTAAGGGGTAAGTTATAAAATAGTACAGTTCCAATGTTATCTATTTACGAGTAACTACGCCACGACTTACGTGAATTAAAATAACTTTTTTTAAACAGATATCTTTACTGGAGCGACTGGGGAGAGACTCCTAGCATTGAAAGGGCATATCTAGATGGAAGTCAGAGAAAGATTATTATCAACCAAGATCTAGGATTTCCAAACGGCATTACGATAGATTACAAGGAGCGGAGATTATACTGGACTGATGCTTTAAAAGATAGGATTGACACTTCTGACCTGAACGGCAACCATAGGGTGCAGTTAGTTCCTGAAGCGAAAAATGCATTTGGGATGACTCAGGTATTTTTTTGTTGTCTTCAGTCTGGCAAAAAAAAATTGCTTGAATATTTCTAATCGATATCGATTATTTACAGTTTAACGACTACATTTACTGGACGGATTGGTTCAAAAAATCAGTAATGAGAGCCGACAAGAGGACAGGTAAAAACGTAACAGTGATAAGACAAGATTTGGATATGACCATGGAGATCAGAGCGGTGTCGGCTGAGAGGCAGCATGGATGGAACCCTTGCAAGGAAGACAACGGCGGCTGCTCGCATCTATGCTTGTTTAGAGCTCACGACTACATCTGTGCTTGTCCAGATGAAGCCGACTCGAAGCCTTGCTCTACAGGTAAAGATTACAAGTCCTTACGTAATTTGTCATGTATTTAAAATGTTTGTCTATGTCTTCAAGCCTTTTTGAATGTGCTGTCCACTGTACCTATGTTTATAAAGTTACATTAAGTTATTATATTGCAGTGCCCAAGTCGCGGATCGAAGGTCAGATGCCTGCGCACTACCCTCCGTATTACGACTACCGGGACATTGACTCCGAAGACACGTTCTTCATGCCACCTACAGTGGTGCCCGAGACCAGCGTCAGCGCGATTCTGATCGTGGTCGCAATCCTGATCTGTATCATCATCGCCGTGGTTATTATCGCGTTTGTTTGCGGTAAGTAGAAAGCGATGTTATTTGACATCTTTTAAGATTCTTATAATCACTATTTCTTACATCTGATTCGGAAAAGAAAAGAAAGATCTTTCCGATACCTCTTATCTTTTCCGATCGTAATTGTTTGGTTGAAAACATAATGCCTATAGATACAACAAAAGGACAGCAAAAAATAGGAAACAGGCCTAGCTGAATGGTGTTTTCAGTCATGATTGTTATGCTAATATACCTAGTATACCTTCCAGTGAAGATCAACAAAGAGCGAGGAGAGGAGCTGAAGGAGACATACCGCGAGTCGGCTGGCCACATCTCGTTCCACAACCCAAACTATAACTGCGCGACCGGTAGCAGCTCCGCTTCTGGCTCCGGCGAGCCACTGGAGCGCAGGTCCAACCGGTTTCAAGGAATATTCAAATACGACAAAAGTCAGGTAAGAATCGTAATAAACCTATTTCAATTGAGTAGACCTTCTGGAATACTTGGTGCAGTTTCAAGATGACTGCCAAGCCAAGATATGGGCAGGAAAGAGACACTTCTCTCTATTTAATGACTGACTGTTGAGTCTGTAACATTGTTATTTAGTCGACAGAGGCCCAAAATTGTAAAATTACCAAATGAAATGACTAAGCTTTAATAGCTTTAGATACTTATACAAATTGCTGCTAGTGAAGTCTTTAGTTGGGATAACAACTTTGTTGGCATAAAATGAAGTTTGACGTAAGCCTCTTTTTCCCTGTGAATAAAAGAATTTCCTGGACTAAGGACATGAAACTAACCAATAAATCTCTATCTCTAGGAGCGCGTAACCAACGTCTACATCCCTGAAGGCACGAGCCTGCTGCCTGCTCCTCCACCACCGCCGCACCGGCAGCCGCCGCGCCCGTCCACACACGACGACTTCGAACCGGTCACCCTGCACCCGTTCGCATGAGACGAGCTCAATACGAAGCTCGACATTGAGTTGGCAGAGGCTTTCCGAGGGTTCTCGATGTAAACCCTCGACGACCGATTACGTAAACGCGACCGTTTGCTCTAACTCCATCTTTCGAAAGTAGTAATTCATCTAATTTGTGTTTAAAGTCCAGTAGTCAATTGATTTGTTAAACTATTGTTGTTAAACGATTGATTGATAAACTGATTCACGGTAACTTTAAACAGCTGTAGATGATGCACATTGCACTAAATGTTAAAATTGTCTTTCTTGTGAGACCACAGGTAAAAATAAGAACATTTTTTGACGTAGATCAGTTGTGTTAGAAAAATAGTGAATCAATCATTTACATGTGAAAACGGTCGCTTTAAGGTTCGGACAAACCAACGCGATCACAGCGCGATCATCCGGCGTGCAGCGATGGCGATCAATGCATTTAGGTCTGGTCGCCATCGCTGCACGCCGGCTGATCGCGCTGTGATCGCGTTGGTTTGTCCGAACCCTTACGTAATGATACTACGGTTTTCCTAATGGTTCCTATAATTGGAAATGCTAATGCCCTGATGTTCAACTGTATGATTGATCAGTTCATAATAACATGATTAAAAAAAAGGAAAATGAATTATAACTTTGCGGCGAGTCACGAGTTTGTAGTCTGTAGGAACCATTACTAAACATTCTGCAACTCATATCGAGATTCGTAATGATTTGTCTGCAATCACCAACCAAACGATTTCGCTACAAAATGCTCAAGCTAACGAAAACTGAGCTCACCACGCAAGCAATAGGCGTGGCTCGACTGTGACACTAAATACTAATTTAAAAATAGTTCTAGCTACCTTTATAGGTAACCACATGACTTGACTACTCAACAGGACGTAACTTGGCTTTTCTCTCAACCTACGAAATTATAAGTGCTACGAATCGTGTAATCGTCTACGAGATTTCATAGCTGCGTAGCCTACGACTCCGCATTTACGGAGGCTACGAAACTCAACATTCGTTGGTGTCATCAAAAGGCTTTATGTGCAAATATTTTTATCGAATTTCTGCACACGAGAAACTAATTGCAATTGCGATTGTATTTATTTGTCCGTGAAAAAAGTTTTAAGACAATTTAAATTAAGACAGGTATTTAAACAAAGGTTTAACCGAAGCGTAAAACTGTTTTCATAATATTTATTATTCGAATCAGTGTTATTTAAGATACATACAAAAACACAAAATCTATTTGTAAACCGCATTATTATTGATACAGTGACGTTGAAGTCATTTATAATAATTTAATTGATATTATTTATCATGTAGCTTAGCATTTAATGAATTGAATGGTATTATTTCGTGATAAATGGAAATGTTATCGATATGTACTAATCGATTATATCGAGTGTACTATTCGATGAAGTCTCGTTTGAAGTATACGAGGAAACAATCGCCGTCTGAATGCGGCCTATCAATGAAACGAGGACGATGACGGGACTTCAGTTTGCTTCCATTGTGTTTCTCCTTGGGATCGATCTATTATAAAATCGTCAATTTCAGATTTGGAAATGTCCAAAGGGATACGTAGATATTTTAAGATCACATTGTTAGTAAATAAATGAATACAATTTATTCTCTTGTGGATGGATCGTTTCAATATGTCTATAATTTGGAGTTACTGTACGTAGAATAACAAGTATTAAGAACTAGCTCGTAATAAGATGTTAGACATTATTCATTTAAATTTTCACGTGCGTTTTTCTACAGTTAATTTCATAATAAATAATTACATACCACATCTTATAACAATAACATATGTTTTATTATAAATAAGACATATTATAATACTACAGTATAATACCGAAATGGTTACCTATTGTTATAGTTTATAGAAATAGATAAATACGTTTAGAAATTATAGGAAATTAAAGAAAACATCTTGTGTGTAAATAGATGTCTACAAGCAAATAATGTACTTACTCCATATTCGTTGTATCTCATTCCATAAATAATACTAATAAAAAGAATTAGTGTTAAGAACTCAAATTTTATAACTACGGTGGCATGCTAAATGGTAGTAACTCGATTTTAATTTAGTTATATCTTTTGTATTTGCAGATGTCATAAAATGACTATCTCATTTTCGGACATTGTTAGACAATGCAACTTTAGCATGATACCGCAGTACAAAAAAATAAATATTATCAAAAACATTGAGCGTGTGTTTGTATATGAGAGGAAGGATATGTGTAAAACGATATATACATTATACATGATATTTATTATTTTTGTACACCATTTGTGCTGGACGCACGCCTCGCCGCGGCTCACGGGAGGCGTCGCCGCAGCTCAAATATAATTATGTAATATATAGATTTTTATAGACGTACTGAAGTTTGGGATCGTATTGTGACCACGCAAATATTTCGAGGAATACCCTGTGGTGAAATCCCAAACTTCATATAATACTCATTTTTCGAAAGCTCGAACTATGGAGGAATCAGGAAAACGAAAGACTTTTAAGTTAATTTAATTTTTATATCTTTAAATTGCCAAATTTAATTTCGGTATAAATAATAACGAATTCACTTTTAGAAGTAATTCACCAGGATTATTATGGTGACAATAAAATATCAATGTAAATAGTTAGTTTTAATTATGACGTTTTTTGTCAAACAAATGATATTGCATTGTAAATAATAGTTTATTTATAAAGGGCATTCCTTGAACGGCACATGTTTTGAAACCAGTCTTACTTTCTTTGATATAACGGCGGCATTTAATGTTTACCATTGTTATCTGTTGTTGCAAATAATTCTTTAAGAACTCTACCAGACAGAAAAAATATATTAAATTCGCCTTACATTAACATACTTATATAAAATAAGGACAGGGGTTAAAATATGTGCTTTTAAAGGGACACTCGTTACGTGATGCGTTTAAATTTATTTATTTCATTTCGACTGTTGCACCTACCTGCCTATGCGTAGGGACGCCACTAACATGCATCTCATATCAGAATTCTTTAGTAAATTAACTAGATTTAAAAATAACGCTTGAATTTACTATCAAAGCCTACATTGTTTCTGACCTCTACCGTTAAGAATAATTATTAGAGTAATGGAATGAACACCTTGTTTGTTGAACTTTGAATTTTTTGTTTATTTGTGAATAAATAACGTCTCAAACACGAATTGGACGTGCATAACGTTTCACAGGGTGTTTTAATCTAAGGTAGAGTTAGGACGGGAGTCAACGGTGTAACCGGTCACAATGCAAATTATTATTTGTTGAACTCATTAACTTTTTATGTAAAGTATTATTGATTTTATAATATGGATTGAATTATTTTCTACTGAAGCAAAACGAAAGTTCCTTTTAACAGATCGATGAAATAAAGCATTATTACTATAAACCAATGTTAATGTTTAATTTACTCTGAAATCTTTATTACATCTTAATAAGATGTATAATATTTTATCTTGACGTTTCTATACATTGGACAGATTACTCATATTTTTATTAACTGTAAATCTTCAAAGAAAAACGTATGTTTATCATTTACGTGTATAACTTTGTGAACTCAAAAATAATCCGCCCCATTTCTCGATATTAGAAACACAATATCGTAATGTGACAATTCAGATGCGTTACGTTAAATACTTTCAATCCTCTTTCATTAAAACTTAAATACATTAAAGAACAAAATTGAAGAGGTTTGAAAGAATAGTGAAGTATTTCATATGACTTTTTATATTAGTTTTAAGACATATTTTATGTAAATTGTTTTGTTAATAGCTTATAAGGGAAGAAAAGTTAAAGTATGAGAGTGCTGTGATACCAGATGCTTTGAGAGTTAGTCGATCACCGGTGATGACGATGTTGGGCAGTATGTGAATATGTTAGTGCCAGTTTCCCGCGGTTGTGTGCGCACACACTCAGCTGATGCACAAGAGGCACGCACAAAGCGTAATAATAATCATCCACTTTTATTAATATACTTTTTTTCATATTTTTTCCACAATGAGAAATTCTAAATTTAAAATATATATTGTGCCAAATGTGAAAATCAGTATTAATTTAATTACTTTGGATATTAAATTATAGTGGAAAATTAGATAATGAATTAAACAGCTTTTACACCTTCTTGCCTCTATTTAGGTGTTAAAGCTGTTGTCCGATTTATTATTGTACTGAAAATTTAAATAGAAATTATTCAAATAACATAAGTCTTTTATTTATACCCCTTTTTTGACATGCTAGACAGTTAAAACTATGACGAATGAAGAGATGATTATAAGATCCGTAAGCTAGTCTGCAACCTATCACATAAAAAAAAGATAAAAATGATTTGGAATGTCCTATTGATTACACATCAGATCGCAAGGTTCAAACAATATCGAGTTATTCGTTTAAGTTTTCGATTATTAGATGGAAAGATCCAAGAGCAAAACTTATGCTTGAGTTGAACCAGTCATTGTTTTTTCTTTTTCAATTGCTTTATGTTATGTGATACTTACTTAAATAGTTATTTAGGAAAGGCTAAGTTAATAAAATACGTAACATATATCACTTTATTTTTATTACATATACCTACATACATAATGATGCTTAACCGTAGTCAACAATCGCATAATATTATATAACACTTTGTAGATAGTTCCAAAGACACCGAATATAAAATAAAATGCCTTATAACGATACATAGTAATAGGTACATAGGTACGTACATAATCTTTGCTTTTAAATAGTTATGACCGACATAATATACTAATAATAAACATTTAGTAAAGAGTAGAAAATAATTTCTTTTGTAAAAGTTTTGTAATCACTTGGGATTAACAGCTTATTTGTGCTTAAGCTAAACGAGTATTCTTGGGTGGGAAATTAAAATACTATGCTATTTAGTCACTATATTGACAATGATAATTTTCAGTGGTTTATTTGCAATCGTATTTTTAATACTTGCGTAATACTTATTTCTACATTGTCTTATTTACGAGATTTCGAAGTCCATTTGACAAATCATACAGGATGTAAGGGACAAAAACTTGTCAGTAAGTTCGGTCGATACTTCTGATTTGAAAATTATTATTTAGTTTGTTTTCTGGAATTTTGAAATGTATTCTTATTTCCTATCTTTGTAGTTTCTAAAAGTAGTATATTAAAATGAGTGGTACACTTAGTAATCGTTGTTGAATTAAAATTAAGTAGAAAGCTTTTGAAATAATTCAAGTATCGAGTTCAGAGATGTGATCCAAGCGTACTGGTTAAGTTTTTGCCAACCTGTCCCATACACCCCGTATTTATAATTTAGGTCCGACACATTTTATTGAAACGTCAATAAAAATAAACTTTAAAGTCAGTGCAGTAACGTAACAAATGCATAGTGCACCATTTATAGCACAGCCGAACAACACGAACACAATACTAAAATAACGTCACATAATTCTAAGTCACATTTAACTACATAAACATGTAGTATTAGATAAATTAAAATAAATTAATATCTACTATTTTCCAATAACTTCACATTATACTAGCAGATCTTTGTGAAGGTTGAAAATTATTATAATCATTAATATAGTTCATAGTCAATAGAGATTTGCGACTACAAATAGCGCATTTGTACAATAAGAATTTCCTTAATAACCAAATGATTGCAAATTAATGGGATAATCCTTCTGCTCCAGCACTCACAAGTTAGCGCCACTATCACAGTCACAATCAACTGACAGAATCTTAAGGTGAGTATAGACTAGAGCATTTACTTGTATCAGAACATCGAGCATTCGCCATTTTGAAATTTACTCGAACGCTCTTCGAACACGACGCTCGATGTTTTGTTACAGCCTTTTAAAAACCAACGAGCATATTGGTGTAACATTTCGTCGAGCTTTTGCAAGAGCACCTATGATGATCTCATATTCTATATTCTATTTTTATATAGAAATGCTTAGGCTAACTGAGCTTTTGCCTGTATTGTACCATTCGTAAGAACGTTACATTACATAGAAATGTTGCAGTCTATACTCACCTTTACTCGCTAGTGGCGCAAACTGGTGAGCGTAATTATGGAAAACCCATTGATCCACACCGTTGTGGCTAAACGCAAACCGCGAAAGCCAAGAAAAAAAAAAAACCCATTGATTCGAGTTATAACATCATACTCGTCAATTCTTTTGCACTGGTCTTAGTGAGAAGAATATTTGTACAAAAGTGCCATTTGTAAAGTAACCATTAAAGATAATTTAAAATAAATTAAAGCAGTTATTTACTGTTTAGTGCAATCTTTGGCACAAATTAATAAAGAGGCCTAGTCGAAATATATTAACATCTACAAATGTATGAGTACAGATGAGATCAATACTGTATTGTATCGGTAACGAATAAATATTGGAATAAAAACCTTCAAATCACCAAAGAATGTATATTGGAATGTCTCTTAAAGAGTACCAAAATATTACATCATTGTTTTTGGATAAAATTCCCTGTAAGATCATATGAAATTTTGTTAATCTATTGTCATGGCTTTATCTTACCTAAGCGAGTTGAGATATTAGTGATATCTTTTGAGTTCCGGAAACACTTCCAGTAAGACTAGTTCGAAGAGTTCCTGAAATGGAGAAATAATTCGTCAAGTTGTATTTTAGTATAATTCATTAGTTTATGTTGATTTGAGACTACTAACAAAATGTCCAGTTGTAAAACTACGAGTAATTTATGAATTTTTGTCACTTTGAGATTATAAACAGAATTTAAACCAAAAGGAATTAACATAAAATTTAACTTTTTGTTCATCGTCAATGTCTTGTGTATTTTGTAGACTTTCAGCAACATTTCCGAGTGTTGTTTGATACAGACATTCCAGAATTATATTCAGTATTCAATAACATGAGAACGATAAGTTATGAGAACTAAGTACTTAGGTAGACTTGATACCTTAATACGTAATAGACTATGATAGATACCTACTAAATAGTCGTAAGCAATTAGCAAGATATTAAACATAATGTTTGGCGTAAATTACTTTAACGAGCGAAATTGAAATGTCTTCCGCACACTTGGCTCAGTATTTCGCATTGATCGACAATTGGTGGGGACATTTTTAGCGCGTCCGAACGTTTTTAGCTACAAGCAAGCCGACAAGGTAATAATTTTAGAATGATCGTAAGATATCTGTGATAGCGGTTCAGCATTCGCGGGGAATGCGTGGGCGAATAAACGCTTCCCGAATATCAGTTCGCTGTTAAATGTAAGAGAGGTAGCAGCGAGTGGTTATAAAAGTGTTGAGTGCATTCACAAATAAATGAAGCGTGATGATTTATAAGTGAAGTGATTAGATTTAATACTTTGTGTAAATATAAATAAAATAAAAATGCCTATCCTATTCAGTGCAGTGGCCTGTGATAAAAACGTTGTATCGAACTTTGCCAGTTGCGGTGGGAATTTTATGGAAATCATGGATCAAGTTTTGACTAAAATCCCAGAGAATAATCAAAAGATGACTTATGCACACGGTCATTACCTATTTCATTATATTGTTGCGGATAAATACTTCTACTTTTGTGTGACTGATAAGGTAAGTGGAATAAAGTATTTGAATTCAAGATTAATGTGCAGAGGCAATATTTTTTTGTAAATTATAAAAAATGTTTTAAAATTTGTATATTGATAAGAATTATTTTTGTCTATCATTTTACTCAAATATAGAATCAATAATAACAAAGATGATAATAAAAATATGTTTAGCGAAATCATGTCGTAATACAGTTTATTTTGAATGACATTAAAGAAGCATATTTATTGGTTTTTTAATTGTATGTAGCTGAAAACAGAATCTCTTAATTTATTATTTTGAGTGTTACATGCTGATTGCTCACATAAAATGTTAATTTAACAGTTGTGCCAGCGGTCAAGAGCGTTCCTTTTCTTAAATGAGATCCAAAGGAGGTTTATTGGCAGTGATAAGTGCAACTTTAGTGCCGTCCTCGCCGATGAGATGTACCGGTATAGCGAAGACTACAGCACTATCACGATAAGGAAGGGGGAATTGGACGAACTGAATTCCATTGGAGTCGGTTGTAGTGGTATGTATAAAACGTTATAAACAAACAAGAACAATAGTAGGCACACCAACTTTTTATAAGCTGTCAAAACAGAAGGAAAAAACATCTAATAAAACACGATTTCCCTATTTTTGGATAGCAATAGGAATATTCCGAGTTAGGTACTTGTTCGCCGACTCTAACGACGACTAGCGACTAAAACAACTGAAATGTAGTTTTGTAGCTAATAGATAGAAAACTACTTGGGGTTTGATAGCAGTTTTTTATAGTGTTATGTGTCTATGACTTATTAGTCAATAGTCAACCTACCTAATATAAACGTGTTTTTTATTATAAATTAATTAAAGTATCATAACAGGTTTTTTGTCTTTTCCAGAAACATTATTAGGAGAAAAGATACTGTTAGTTAACAACGTGGATAATTTATCATTTAGCGTAAGTATCTATTTATTTTTGCATATTTTTAAAAATAAAACAAGATTATAAAACGGTATTTTTTGTTCCAGACCATATCATACGTTGGGAAAAATCCTGAGCAAGTTATAGTAACTGTAAAAGACTCAAGACTGTACTATATTATAGGCGCGGTATTAGTTCTGGCTCTTGGCATAGCAATGTGCATATTCGGACCAATATCTCAAGTTATTTTAACTGGAGCATTGCTATTTTCACTCTATCACTCTGTTTTCAAGACTTAACTAGAATAATTAATATACAGTGATATTATTTAATATAGGGGTTCAAGTTTCTAGTTCTCGCTCACAATCTAGTGATAGATGTGTAGAGGTCTAATAATAATTTTATTGTAAGTCATATAAAAATACATTTATTAAATATTATAAAATAGTTGTTTGATTAGAAAAATTACCATGATGAGACTTAGTTTTTTTGAACTAATATAGATGACCAACTTAGCAAAGTTTTAAGTGCATTTTCTGCAAGCGCTGAAGAGGAAATATAATCAAAATCTATAAAATTAGAAAAAAAAAACTGCATGTAGAGGAATGTGCATTTGTAAGATGTGAAAAACCTTTTTGGCGCACCTACCTCGATGATCGACCTACTTGCCATCGAATTTGTCTGAAAGGTAATGCTTCTACTCGTAGCTTACCTTCATTTCACCAGCAGTACAGTTAGCGTCAAATACTAAATGTAGTTCGTGACACCCAAAGTACTAACTTTGCAACACGACGTTAAAATTGGAAAAAGTTATCAACTTTTTGGTCACTTTAGGTGTCACGAAACATTTGAGGCGGACTGTACAAATGCACGAAATATCAAATATACAGTGTGTCCGGGCATGTAGTGACCTAATTTTAAGGGCGTAATCTATGGACAATTTATAAATCCTTGTAATTTTGCAAGAAATGGGTCAAGCCCCAGATTTGAAGTATTTCATGCCCTTCACTACATGCCCGGACACATTGTATATGTATGTACTTACATAGAACAGCTGTTTGTTGTGTGTAGTGTTCTGTAGCGTGAGGAACAGCTTGTGAGCGCCCCTGGCTGCGGCGTGCGCGCCTACCAGCGAAGACAGCGCTTCCACCACGCTTTCTGTCAGCTGCTGAGATGCCAGCGTTCGCGTATGTTCTATAAGCAGGGGAATAAAACGTTAGTAATGTAGTAGTAGTGGGAAGTCGAACCTTAACTTCGAACTCCTCCTATATTCTTCTGATTAATTTAGTTGCGATTCCAATGACAGTTTAACTTTCCCCCGGGACAAACTTGACCTTCACTGGTTGGGTTTTTATTGGCGGTCAAGCTGTAGATCCTGGCTACACAGGAGTTGGTTGCAGCAGTGGAAACGAGAGGTGGGAATAGTCCCGTATAATGTAGTATTGAATAGACTATTGTGGATAGTTTTATTTCTAGAAGGAATAAGGCCCGGCTTTCACCAAGGCGGAGTGGAGTAGAGAGGTGTTTTGAATAACCAATCGGACTTTATAATTTCCACATCCAAACTCCGCTCCACTTCGGTGGAAATGGATCGAGCGAAGAAGAGTCGGGCGAACTTGTTCGGCGGTGCGGTTCGGAGCTGTGCAGAGTGGTGCGGTATTTCATAGATAGCAAGACTGACGCACAGGTCACACATCTCTCGTCTCCTCTTCGCTCCATCATCATCATCATCACCTCAGCCATAGGCCAGCATATCTAGGCTTAGGCATAGCTTTCCATGTTGATCGATTGGTAGCGGCCTGCGTCCAGCGCTTCCCTGCTACCTTTGCGATGTCGTCGGTCTACCTTGTAGGTGGACGTCCCACGCCCCTCTCCGCTCCGCTTTGGTGGAAATAGTCTGCTAACTTCGCCGCACATCTTTAGTCTCCGCTCCGCTCCGCCTTAGTGGTAACTAAGCCTCAGCCACCGGTCACAAATCTTACCACGGTAAGTAACGTAACACAAAATAGCGTAATAAGCTAAAATGTGAAGTCAAGATTTTTTGTAATGTAACCAATCGGAATTTACCTCCAGTTATATGCATAATAATTACCCATGTTTTACCTTTATCTTGGAAGTTCCGATTGGACGTAGTTTCACTGAGAACACCACCAGGCCACCACGATTTTAGAACCACGCTGATGTAGTAATGAAGCATCTGCTCCGAGAATAACCAGGAAACCGTTTCTTTGATTTGTCTAAAAATAAATAACTTAATTTATTATCATATTTTAAGCTATTATTGTAATGTAAACTATTCAAACTACTTAGGAGGACTTAAAATTTATTTTTGTGAAGTGGGGTAGGTACTATCGGCAATAGTGTTAACTACCCATTGCCAAGAATCGCCATTTGATGACAGCGAGAGCAAAAAGTGGCCGTGTGTACCTAAAAACTTATGTTTATATGCTCTTGGTAAGAAATCGACAAATTTTCATCACGCGAACCGTTAGAGGCCCAAATTTAAACTCATAACGATAACATCTATCAACACTACCTATATGACATTTGCAAATTATGAATTTAACTTTTCAAGCACGTGTATTTCTCGCTGGCAAATTTTCAAAAAGCCGGGTAAACAAACTTGCATTCTTGTCAAAATTCACATTGATATATTACCTATTTATCGTCCTGCCGTATGTGATTTGCACAAACGTGACAAGAGTTTTCCTGAGCCATCGGAACACTCCTCGCATGTCGAATACTTCGCTCAACAAAGCGTATAGCGGTTCCGCTATGCTGTCTCTCTCTTCGCCGACGATGCCAGTACCTGTAAATAAACATTTTTTTATGACAAACTAGCGGCCGCCCGCGACTTCGTACGCGTGGTTTTACCCCCTTTTCCCGAATTTTCTTTGCTATAAGCCTCACGGAGCCCGAGACCTTTCCAACGAATGCAAAACCGTGGAAATCGGTTTGTGCGTTCTGGAGTTATAGCGTCAGGGAGGAAAACCCGACTTATTTTTATATATGTAGTAGATTAAATAAACCATAGTAGGAAAAAAAAGAATGGAATAAGAAACGTTGTCTATTAACTTTGATCTGCTTTCTTGACCAACTTTAGATTTTAAAAGTAGCACATCTGATTCAAAATCTTTCAGACTATTTATTTATTTATTTATTTAAGGATACAGAGAACAAATAATAACAATACAATTAACACAACAACATATTAACTATATATTTTTTTGCTAAATAGCACCTAAGTAAGTGTATTGTCGATGATACTGAATAAACATTATTTTCTTACTTTCTTCCTTTCTAAGTATTACAACTAATTAAGATGCTAATGTTTAGCTCTATGTGTCGTGTGTACTTCAATAAACTTTCACATTTAGGTGGTGCTCTTAATTTAATGTCGGCTTCTAAAATAACACGTCTGGGAATCGAGCCCGGGACGAATAACCGTTAGATGAACAATCTATTTTAATTGAAAAGTGTCTTGTCTTACACGCTACGCTAAGTAGGCCGTTAAATATCAAGGAGTAAAGCATCATGCGCTAGGCATGAACGTCTCACGTGATTCTTTTTCCGCACGAAACTGGCGTATGCGCTGGTCTAATAATAATGTCGAATGAACGCGGCAATGTGAACATACCTTTAATCGTTCTAAGTATGCGAACGCTTGTCAATTAGCAGTAGCATGCACCTTGAAATTAATAGTTAATTTTATTTTTCACTAGCTATTTAAGTGGAATAGGCTGTCAACTAACGACTAGCTACGTTATTGATGACATGAGAATAGTCGAATTTTTTGAGGCGATTGGTTGTGAACGGACGACGAAACATCAAAGTAAATACTGTGGCATCTTTTTTAGATGTAACTTATAAGCGTCATTTCTTAACTAATTATTTTATCTTGTTTTATGTGCGTCGTCTTTTCTGGTAGAATAAGTGGTTGGAGTTGAACACGAGTAGTTATTATTATAGTCAAATAGTCATTTCACGTTAAAATAAGTTACATTAGCTGACAAAATTATTATGAACTAGTGGCCGCGACTTTGTACGCGTGGACTTCGTTTTACCCCCGTTAGATATCATGTTGATAGATGGCGTTTCACGGCTTCCCCGCATGAATATTTACGAACGTCAAAAACGTTTTTCCAGCGCTGTAGATTTTAACCAATGACGATAGATAGCGCTTTTAGACACCTCTTATTTATTTAAATATCGTCATTTATGTTAATCTGGGTTATAAACAATAATACTGTAAAGTTTCAACAAAATCCGTTCAGTAGTTTTTGGGTGAGAGTAACAAACATCCAGACATCCAAACTTTCGCCTTTATAATATTAAGTAGGATATGTCTACTCACCACGCATAGCAGTAGTGATGTTTTTATTGGCGGCATCGCCTCCGTTACCATCGAGGTACAACGATATTTCGTCCTCGTCTGCCGAAAGGTGCGTGAACGCTTCTTTCTCTTGAGATGATCGGCTCGTTGCTTCGCTACTCGTACTTGGGAAATAAATAAAATATTTTATGAACATTTAGCATTATTTATACTGAGGTGTATTGATTATGATTGTAACTTAAGATAAACTATGTCTTTGAACGGAATTCGAATGTTATCTTATGTACAGACATCCAAAGTATGAAATTACTCAGTATTTTTGTATATTACCTTTTAAATAATGTAGAAAAAGAGAACTTATTTTTCTTTGGCAATTCTCCTTGTTTAAGATACTCTGAACTGGGGTTCAGGAATGTGTATAAAGCTTCGCTTTGGTTTAGTCTATCGTCTTCTAATACAAACTGAAAAATAAATTAAATAATTAGAAACACTACGTATTGTTATCTCATAACTTCAAAGGAGAAAAAAGGCCTTACTTCTAAATATTTCTGTATTAAAGTTTTTGCTTTTTCTAAAGAGTTCCTATCGTTTTTACCAAATAAAAATTTAAAAGAATTTGATGGCAGCTCCAGGTTTTTTAGTTCCGAACACAGAGGCCTTAGTTTTCGATGTAATTCCTGAAAAAATCAAACCGACAAATCAAATATGGACTGAAGTTTCAAGTTTTAAGATTGAAATTGCAATGGCACTCACTTGGAATTCGTTTAGGGTTCGTAATAGCACCCACCCAGTGGATATTTGCTCAGGCCTGTCGTCGCAACTTATTACTTCTTGTTCAGCCATGTGAACTACTATGACAAACTGTGGTGGTTTTGATTCGTCTATTATCTGTAACGATGGAAGGTGATTTAAAAATGGTGTGAAAAAAAAACTTCTTGTGTATAATTTAAGCGTAATCCAAGGCAATTTGTTACAAAAAGACATACAAGCCTTATTTACAGCCCTTAATAGTATTTAAGTCATTAGCTCTCCTGCACCTCAGTTTTATCTAAGTAGGTTTAATTGAAATAGGGCGGAGTGGGAAGGGTGATATGACGTAACACAGCTGTCAGCTGTCACCCACAAACGGGTGTGGATTGATATTGTTTTTCTCTTAGACCGTTTCCCAATTATTATAAAAAAAACTTTTAGATATGTATGTATATTTGTAATATAATTTTGACATGATAGTTTTGTAAGCATTAAATTTAAATTCTTAAAATTGACATTGAATTATTATGTTATGTAACTATTAATTTTTGTTTGTATCTTTATATGGGACTAATAATTTGTATGCCACTCATAGGCCAAACATAGAGCTCTACCCATTATTATGTACCACCTGAATTCCACATCTACCTATGTTTTACAAATAAATGATTTGATTTGATTTGATAGAATGTTTTTACAATTGAGTAATGTTAAACATAGCTTGGGCAGACCTCCTACTAGGTGGACCGAGGATCTGGTAAAGGTCGCGGGAAGAGCCTGGATGCGGGCAGCGCAGGACCGTTCATTGTGAAAAACCTTGGTCAGGCTTTTGTCGAGCAGTGGACGTCATTTGGCTGAAACGAATGTGAAATATACCTCAGCGCTATGCACAGTAGCTCGCCACAGGCCGAGGTGCTCCGCCCAAGTGTCGGTCCGAGCCAAGTGAGCTTCTAAACGCATCTGCTCGCCAGCTAAGCGCTCCACTTCGTTAGCTAGCATTGCTAAAGCGGGGGAATCTGGCTTTAGGGACGCTCGAAGGGCTGCGAGTGCCTAGAAATAAATATTTTTATTAAAGTGGGAATTTCGTTTGCTTTTTGTCACCGGTGAGCGTGTTCAGGGAAAAATAATCTATATATCTATATAAAAAAAAAATGAATTGTTGTTCGTTAGTCTGATTAAAACTCGAGAACGGCTGGCCCGATTGAGCTGATTTTGGTTTTAAAATGTTTGTCGTAGTCCAGGGTAGGTCTAAACGGTGAGCAAATGAGGAAAAATTGCGATGGCTTATTTATTGCCTTTAAGGCGGAACAGAGTTCGCCGGGTCATCTAGTAAAAAATAAAAATAAAATGGAATTTGTTTATCACCACAAACAAGTAGATACAAAGTAAAGTAACATCCTTACGATTTGGTATAACCAAATATAGGTAACTTGTTTGTGGAGACTGGTGATCTATGGTAAGTAAAAAATACTTGTGTTGTTGATGTGTTTTTGTATAGAATAGGGATGTTTCCTGGGTAAAAAAGCAAATGTTTGAACTAGTCCGTCAGTTAACTTGACAAAAAATACTCGACATGTAGGTATTTTTTACTTTTTCAAATGAATGAAAATTGAAGTGAGATAAAGCGCGCCAATCAAAAGGAACGTGACGTCAAGACGTGGTTATAAGTGTAGCACTTTGTGACGTCACGGGGAACTTTAACGCTCCATAACTTTGTAATTACATGTTTGATTTATATTTTTTTTTTGATGATAGATAAAGTTTTTTTTAGGAAACCAGCCTATTGGTAGGCGTGGTCAGGGTATTCATTTTTGGAAATGAACTAAAGTGTAAAAGATACCAAAGTAAATTGTCCAATATTTTTTGATGATAGACAAAGTTTTTTTTAGGAAACTAGCCTATTAGTAGGCGTGGTCGGGGGATTCATTTTTGGAAAGGAACAAAAGTGTAAATGATTCCAAAGTGAATTGACATTTTAGAAGCTGTCAAAACGCGATTCTGTTTGGTAAAGACAGTAAAAAGGTGCGCCGGCGCTTAAAGGTTTGTTACCTGTATTTTATTGTTGTGCCTCTCTTGCAATTGGTCGAGTTTTCTTCTAGCGTAAGTGGAATGTTCGTTAAGATGCAACGCGCCTGCCACGCTTTCCGCTGATGACACGGACTCGTTTGATAACTGACGGTCTTCTATTGGCGATCGTTCGGAGTTCATTTCTGCAAAAATAAAAACATTCTCATATCAAGTTGAGTGCTCTTTATTTTACTCGTGACTTATTTTTTGTTATACAGGTTGGAATTTTGTAAGGCTACCTGGAGGGAAAGTAAATACTGTAGATAGAAAATTTTACTCAAAGAAAACATTCCTTTCTTTTTTCTATCTTTCCTTCCAGGTGGCAACTTTGTATGTGCGAGTTATACCTTTATTGGCTTCTTCAGTCGCAAGTTCCGCTATAAACGCTCTGTACTGCTCACTCAACAGAAATGAAGTATAGTATTTCTCTTGTATCGTATCTACTACCGTGTCTTGAACTTCGTAAAAAACCTCTGGTCCTTTGTCCCCGAGTAAGAAAGCCTCCATACGTTTTCTCGTATCCTAAAATTAAGAATAAATAAAGACACATTCTGAGCAGAAAGTTCTATACCTACTATCTCTGAATTTTGAGCTGAAATATTTTATTTATAGAATTTATTCATATTTTTTCCAAAAACAATGTACTTTTATAAAGAGGGAAACCTGTCATTGGCTATTTATACTATCAGTCTAAATCTTGTAACTAACATTTTCAACGTTTATCGCTGATAAATAGAATGTCTGAAATATAAAGTAACAGTGGGATAACAAAGCTAGGGCAAGCTGTATTAAGAACCTCCTACATACTCGTAAAGTCAGCGTCAAATAGTTCGTGACACCCAAAGTAGCGAATAAGTTCCCAAAATGTCTTTGTTGCAATTGGAATTAGGTTGTGTTGTCAACTTTTTGACCACTGGGTGTCACGAACTATTGGACGCTGGTTGTTCGTTCGTTTCAGCCGCAAGACGTCCAGAGCTGGACAAAGGCCTCCCCCAAGGTTTCCACAAAGACCGGTCCTGCGCCGCCCGCATCCAGGCACCTCCTGCGATCTTAACCAGATCGTCGGACCACCTGTGGGAGGCCTGCCCAGTCTACCGACTGACTGTACTAATAAAGAATTTGGGAGTCGAAACGCTTTTTTTGATACGGGACTATTCCCACCTCTCGTTTCCACTACTGCAACTCCTGTGTAGCCAGGATCTACAGCTTGACCGCCACAAAAACCCAACCAATGAAGGTCAAGTTTGTCCCGGGGGAAAGTTAAACTGTCATTAATCAGAAGAACGAAATTAATCAGAAGAACATAGGAGGAGTTCGAAATTAAGGTTCGACTTCCCTCCATTGCAAAGCGGATGACAGGTGACAAACAAAGGTTTAAAACCTTTAAGAAAAGATTATGCACCACGGACGATAAATTAAATAAAGGGGGCCTATCTTATGAGCAATTAGCAACTACCTGCCAATAATATTTTTCACAAAATCGCTTAAAAGCACGGCTTTTTTTGATACCATAACTAAACAAATAATAACCCAATTGAACTTCTGAGAAGCATAATTATTTACTTACCTTATCAACTTTAATTTCCGCGCTAGGCGATCTAATATAAGTGTAAAATATCTCGGCTCCCAGCTGATGCCAGCTACTCCTGGGGCTGTGGCGGAGTTCCTCCACCGCCATCCAGAACCCCACTAGGCCTTGTGAACACATTTTTTCTAAGAACATCGATAGGTATCTACGGCCGATGACGCTTTCCATGATTTTGTGTAAGGGTAGAGTCTGGAATAATAGAGAGGTTGGTTCTTATTTTTCATAAATTCACGCGTTGAATAAAAAAGAAAACGATGGGTACGCACACAACGATATAGACTTGAAGTTAAACGTTCAAGGTCTATGGGCGTGGCCACACGTCTAGTACAGTCAGCGTGAAGTACTCCGTGACACCCAAAGTAGCCAAAAAGTTCGCAACACGTCTTTGTTACAATAAATTATTGGAATAAGGTTGTATTGACCAGTTTTTGGCCACTTTGGGTGTCACGAACTATTTGACACTGACTTTACGTCGCAGGTGCCGTACCATAGACTTTAGGCCACGCCCTAATGTGACTAAAACCTTTTTGAGGGCTGGATTGTCACCAAGTGTCACACACAACTTCTTACCTGTTATTTCAAATTCAGGTCCCTACTTTATAGTAAAACCTTTGTTTTGTTAGTGGCTAGATAGAAAAAGTGTCCACATTCTTGTTTTTTACCTTACTATCAGTTTCGTTAACAGTAGGAAAAGCGCCATCCCAGCCCAACTTCCTCAGGGCTGTCTCGCACTCCGCCTTAGCGATCGTCAGCTGACTGATGTAGCGTTTCAGCTTCTTGGCGTCAGCTATCTGTTGCCTGCTGACGTTGTGTTGCGATGACGGCTTCTCAATCGCGTCGATGTCTACGCCCTTCGCGCGTTTGACGTTTTGTAAGGTCGTCGCTTGCATTATTTGCGTGACTATGTCGTACCTGAAAGCGATGATATGTGATTTTTTATAGATGATAGATAAATACCTGAATATTATTTAGGTGATGACGAGTGAATCTCAATGTTGCACGAACACGAGACTTTTTTATCGTGTAAGTGAAACTACAGAGGTCACAAAACTAAAATAGGGTTTAGGCCAATTTGTATGTGATATTTATGTATTACTTTTGGACCAATGCAAATGCGTACAGAGTGCGCGCCGAAACGAACGTCACAATTATTTTTGGCGTTCCTGCAAATACATATTCTTATTGGAATCCTAAAGCATCTAAAACAAAACTAGATATCTACTACTTAAGCCTATTAAGATTCTTATTTCTACATTAATACATTTGTTATGTTATACCACATTAGGTTGCGGCCACACAATGCGCGTAAAGTGGTCCAGTGGTTAAGACCCTACATAACATACAACAACTGGTGGAAATTGCTTCGGCATCGTGGCCCACTACGTCACACGCACTAGATTCGCTCTAGGTACATAAAATATCACCAACCTTCACCTGCATTCAGTCCACACATCGTGAAAGTTTCATATGACCACTCACCGTAACCGTTTCAGCGTGTCGACATTATTGCAGTTGTTGATGAGCCGTATGTAATCCTCGAACGTCTTCGCGTATTCGTGCGTTCTCACGTGCATGGCGTTCACTTCCTTTTGCGCCTCCAAATACTGGATTATCTTTTGGTTTATGTAATCTGGCTCGGTCAGCAGGTCTATCGCGGGTTGTAATACTGAGGATAAAGAAAGATTCGCTTGACAAATATGCGCCAAAAGTAGTAGATACGAGTATCTATACTAATGCTGAAGAGTTTGTTTGTTTGAACACGTTAATCTCAGTTTACTGGTCCGATTTGAAAAAATATTTTGGTTTTGAATAGCCCATTTATCAAGGAACCATCACGCTACGACCAATAGAAGCAGAGCATAAATGAAAAAAGTTGCTAAAACGGAAAAAATATTCAAATGATTTTCACGCGCACGAAGTAGCCGACACAGTTTGTGTTCAATATTTTATTTACATTTTCCTGAGGTATTTTTACTGTACCTACCTATCTGGGGGCACGGCAGTGCCCCCACCAAGTCGAGCAAAAAAGCGGCACGGCCGTACCATCCTTTTCTCGAAGCAATTCAGGCCATTTTCGACCGCCTGTAACTTCGTTGTGGATAAAACTAGAAGGCTGAATTTTCATTAGCTATGCAGGCATTGTAAAGACACGGTATATTTAAAATTTCATTAAATTTGAACCAGTAGTTTAAGAATTATAACGGGTCAAAGTTACTTAATTTTGTCACTCACTGACTGACTCACCGATCATCAAAACTCTAAGGCACTTCTAGCAGACCTAGAAGCTTCAAATTTGGAATATAAGTAGTGTTTGGTGTATGAATCAAGGAAAAACTTAAATATTTGGGGGCACGGTAGTGCGACCGCCAAGTTGAGTAAAATTTTTCAATTTCGGTCCAGTTTTCTAGATACATAACTGCTGTCTACAAAATACAAAAAGAAATGAGATCCCATCAAAAACAATACTTGTCAAAAAAACCAAGTCTCGCAACTCAGTTGTTCTACGGAAAAAATTTGTGAGATCCATGTAATACCAAATCCAGGCCAGGAAATCTTTAACGTTTTACATAAATATATTGACTTGGCCATCGCATGAAAACACGTGTAAATTAAATTATTTAGTGCGATGGCCAAGTCAATAATTTATGTAAAACGTTAAAGATTTCGTGGCCTGGACTTGGTATTACATGGATCTCACAAATTTTTACCGTAGAACAACTGAGTTGCGAGACTTGGTTTTTTTGACAAGTATTGTTTTTGATGGGATTAGACTAATTAAACAGCGATAAAAGTTATAACTGCAATGACACTTTAAACTACTTAATTCTAGTTGGATTCCTGTATGAAAATTGTTTGTTTTCCAAATATTGATAAACTAGCGGCCGCCCGCGACTTCGTACGCTTGGATCCCGTTTTACCCCCTTAGGGGTGGAGTTTCGTAAAATCCTTTCTTAGCGGATGCCTACGTCATAACATCTACCTGCATGCCAAATTTCAGCCCCATCCGTCCAGTGGATAAAAAACCAGAACAAACATAAAACCTTACCTTTACAAGCCAGTATTTCCCGCATGAGATGCGACGCCGGCGCCAACGAGTAGCATCGCGGCATCAGAAACATGATGATGAGCTCACTGATCTGTCTCAGGTAGTGCAGCTCAGTCTCGCACGACATCAGGTGTGGGGCCAAAGCAAACACTGGGGCCTGATTCAATTCCAATCTACAGAAGATAAAATCGGTCAAATAATGTAAGTTTTAGGGCTCCTGCACACGACGCCGCCACCTCGCCGCCGCCGCACCGTCGCCGCGCCGCTACACTGTTCATACGCACCGAGTAAAACCGCCGCCGCGCCGCCACCGCGCCATCAATCCATCACGGTGTTCACTACTGTTCACGCGGCGCGTATAAACAGTGCAAAGGCGCGGCGGCGGCGCGGTAGCGGTTTCATGTGCAGGAGCGCTTAGGCTAGTTGCTTCACCTTAAACTTAATTATAGCCGGTATTTTTGTATGGAGTTTGTCAGACTTTAGATGTTTGTATAGTTAATGTAACCTGCATGGTGCAACCCAGGGTAATCAGTTCTGACAAAAATAAGTAATCTTAGGCAACTTGTAAATGATTATAATAGGAATAATGTATTGTATCATATTAGCTGACTTTAAAATAACTTGAGTATAAAAGTGTGTTAAAAAACGTTTACTGTACTTTTTTGTTTAATAATATTTTTTTTTATTCAGGACTAGCTGACCCGGCGAACTTCGTACCGCCTTAGCGTAGAGATTTTCTTAATATTTTTTTCCGTAAGAACCATCCTTGGACTTCCACAAACATTTAAAAAAAAGAATTATCGAAATCGGTTCAGCCGTTCACACGTGATGCCGTGACAACGCGAAACGGGTTTCATTTTTATATATATAGATTTTACATTTTATAAATAAGAATTTTGGGCTTCTAAATACATTATTGCTTGCAAATCATAAATGGATGTTTCATAATCCGATATTAACCAATAACAAGAACATTTAAGTACAATTAGTTCACAGAAGTTTTCTTTTTCTGTTATAACCGGATTTTATTACATCTTTTATCATGATATGGTAGGTCATTTAAAGTCAAGCTGAGATAAGATAATGCAAATAAGTGTGTCTACTTACGCACAGCTCCGAGCGATTCGAATTCTTTCAAAATGCTGAGTTATCTTTGTGACCATGTCACTGGCTAATAACTTTTCAGCGTCCACACGTAACAATCTCTCATACAAGTTCTGGATTGCGCCCCAAGTATGCTCTTTAAATTTATCGATCACTGGTTCTGGTTTATGAGACCACTCCTTTAGCCAGCGAGTTACAAAGTCTCTTAAAACATTGTCAATTAACTGCTGTAATTGACTATCAACAGTACGCCCGAAAATAACCGGTAAATGTGTTTTAGTTTTAGTATGTGGCCAATTAGTTTGGTCTTCCTGTTAACAAATTATTATAATTAATTTTGTTTACATTCATTTTAAAACACAAAAAAATAATGAAAAATTAATGTACATACCTTTAATGACTCTTCTAGATGCCGCATTTCTTTTTCTACTCTATCTACTAAAAATAATGAGGTCTGATGAGGAGAGGAAAGAGCGACATGACCCCAAAGTGTCAACATAAAAACAGACACGACAAGGAAAACACATAATATTGTTAGATAAAATAAACTCCACAATAGAGGAATGTACCACGATATAGCCAAATACACTGGCAAAGCGGTAATAATCAGCCACTTCATCACGAATTGTTTATGTTTAAGATTTCATCGAGTCTTCATAATAAATACATAATAATTAGTAGCACAGTGCCATAATATATACCTAACACTATTAAACAACACTTTTATTTCAATTCATAGTCATTTTTAGTTAATTGTACGTGTTTCTAATTCGTATTTACATTTGAAAAGGGAATGACACACTCCGCGATTGATTTCTTGGTCCGTCCTTGAGCTGCGTAATTTGACATTTGTTTTTTCGTTCAAAAATCACATGCCAGAAAAGAATTGAATAAAAAAATCAGAAACTGAAGGTCTATTGGTTATCTAATTAGCTTGCAGTGGTGCCAGATTAGGCGAATTATCGCCATTTAGGCTACCTCTGGGGGTCAAATGGCGACCAAAAAATGCAAACGGCTACCGGTAGCCATTTAGGCTACCTAGAAAATAAGATCGGGCTATTTAGGCTAATTCAGGATTACCTTGGAAAAATAACCTAACCTAGTATTCTGTAATTCAGTTAGTTTTTTAAAATGACCCCTACCCCCTTTTACTACTCTAAAAAGTCCAAACTCCATACTAAATCCATCAATTTTTTTCTAAGTGTCAGTTCCATACAAATTACGTTCGAAAACTCGGTTATTCGGCTAAGTCCTGCACCCTCTTTGCTACACCCTAACCATCAAAATCTGTTTACTTTACACATTACCGGTGGGCCAGCTGGTATTCTATACAATGCCTAGGAATTACATACACGCCTAGGTAAAGTATTTATTGAACAATAATATTTTAAACATTGCCTACGCCCTGTTAGCTTGTACTAATTGGTACGACTGCGAAACGATAGATATAACGAGTAATCGATTACAAATATAAATAAATTGTGTTCCTGTTATGATCAAATTTTAAAAAATGACAGCTTAATCAGCTGTGCTCGTCATTCATTCACAGCTGTGCGTCATTCATGTAAATAAATAGCTTCAAACGCTTGATTGTTGTTTTGTAAGTTAACTTTATTTTGTTGTGAGTGATTTTATGTACACAACATTACAACATGATTCCATTCAAATCAAGATAATTGTTCTAATCTAATCAAGTGTCACTTTTGTTTGCCTTTTAGAATTATAACCTCTAATTTAATCTAAGTCTAATTTTAATGAGTGGATTTGTAACATTATTATTTTGAACAAGTTCATCGCCATCAACAGAAGAAAAGAACAAAATGTCCCATTTAAATACGGTTTATTTAGTGGTTGGAGGTGGTATAGCTGGAGTGACTTGTGTTGAATCTTTAGCTATTTTACATCCAGAGGAAAGTCTAGTCCTGATAACTGCATCATCCCTGGTAAAAAATGTCAGCAATGTGAGTTTTTTCGCCAAGACGATAGTCAAGTTTGACGTTAATGAAACTGAGGCAAGTTCTCTCCAAAAGATTCATCCAAACTTAAGAATTGTGTATGATTCTCTCAAGCAAATAGACACCAAAAATAAAATAGCAATTACTGATGGTGGTGTAGAAGTGAGATATAATGTAATATGCATTTGTACTGGTGGTATACCAAGACTTATATCAGATTCAAGTAAATCTAAGAGAATATTAGGCATAAGAGATACTGAATCTGTGCAAGAATTTCAAGAAAGGTTAAAACATGGCAGACGTATGGTTATTGTTGGTAATGGCGGTATTGCATCAGAAATAGTGCATGCTACTAGAGGTATCCAAAAAATTTGGGTGATAAGAGATGATTACATTTCTGCTACTTTTGTAGACCCAGGAGCTGCAGAATTTTTCCAAGATTCCTTCAAACATACAGCGACTGAAGATGGCACTAATAAAAATACAATTTTACGTCGTCATGTGTTTACAGAAGAAGACACTGTAGTTTCGCTTAACAAAAATCTCAAATCAGCTGCATTGGGCCCAGATTGGTATAGAAAACTAGAAAATATAAGGAATGACCATGGAGAACAAGAATTAGAAATTATTTACAAAGTAGAAGTTAAATCTGTACTTGAAAATGATTCAGAATATCCTTTAAGAATAGAGCTTACCAATGGGAAAGTCATAGATTGTGATTTTGTTATATCAGCTACAGGGGTTGAGCCAACTGTAAATTTTACATGGGATCAGGAGCCTCAAAAGGGTCCAGATGGAGGTTTATCTGTTAATGAATTCCAAGAAACTACTGTGCGAGATGTGTTTGCTGCTGGTGATGTAGCATATGCTGCGTGGGAGCATGCTCCTCATTGGTTCCAATTGAGGCTATGGACACAAGCGAGAAATATGGCTGGAATGGCAGCAAAGGCAATGCATGCTAGAATCACCAACCAAGAAGTTCTACAAGACTTTTGCTTCGAGCTATTTACACATTGTACCAGTTTATTTGGATACCGAGTTGTATTATTAGGAAAATATAATGGACAGGGATTAGGAAATGATTATGAAATTTTACTAAGGTATACACCCCGAGTAGAGTACATTAAGTTTGTTCTTCAGAATGGAAGATTACAAGGAGCAATATTAATTGGTGAAACTGATTTAGAAGAGATGTGTGAAAACTTAATTCTTGATCAAATAGATTTGACACCATTTGGTGACGATATTTTAAACCCTGACATAGATATTGATGATTATTTCGATTGAGGTCTTTTCTGTTAACTTTGTATTAAAAACTAAATGCAAAGATGCCTATTCGTTTCATTTTATGTGCAATGAAAATATTATCAAGCTTTTCCTATAATATAAATTCCCTGCTATAATGGTATTGCATTATACACAGTAAGTAAATTCTGTAAATTATCGCACTAATAGAAAACAATGAGCACCTTTTGTTTTTATATAATATCATTGATGAGCACGTAATCACTTCGTTTACAGGAAGTGTCAACCGACTTTTTAATTTGAGTTTTACGAATGTCTAACTTTCACAGAGTTCCAGCATGATTGTTAAATAATTACGCCATATAGCTCTCTGGGTGTCATATACCAAATAAACCATTTTTCTTTCTTTCTAAATAAGTTTGTAAGCAGGAAAATAATATGTAATAAAGTTATATGTATAGAGTATAGTTCATGAAAACAAGCGGCATTTTGTTTTGTACCTATATACTAATGCAACTTAGTAATTTTAAAATTTTAAATGCAGCGCGTTGTGGAAAGTTGTTTTTTCTGTAGGTTGGCTAATCCACCCACAGCCACAGAGCAAAGAATCCTAAAAAGTAAAGCTAGCACACATGTCACTCACTGTAATTGAGCTACATTGTTGAGCTAGCTCATTATTATTTTTATTTCTGGCAATGATTTTGCAAATAAAAAAAGTGCAATGACGTTTGTGGGTTGAATTAATTGCTGTCATTAACTGTGCTGTCATTTACGAGTATTTATTTGTCAAAGCGAGTCATCAACTTTTGTAGTTGTTCTTGTGATTTATTAGTTTTTAATTTCCCTTTCAAGTGAAAATACAAAAATTAATATTGCCGTTATAGATTCTCTAATATTCCTAATAATAATTAAATGTTAAAAAATTCCAAATTTATGGGACACGGCTGTATGACGTTTCAACAAATCGTGTTGGGTTGTGGAGTGTTATTTTTTTAAAGTGATTATTTTCTTTGTTAGAAGATTACTCAGTGCGATTTTCGAGATGCCTATCTTGTTTAGTGTTGTTGCTCGGGGCACCGTGGTGTTGTCCAAATATGCTACCTGTGCTGGCAATTTCACAGAAGTTACAGAACAAATTCTATCGAAAATTCCACCGCATGATGATAAGCTGACATACTCCCATGGAAATTATCTATTTCATTACATTGCGGAAAACAAATTGATTTATTTTTGTATTACGGATGATGTGAGTATAAAATTAATCAGAATCTTTGTATCATTGTGCATTCATATACCTAAATGTTATTTTAATAGTTGTTGTGAAATAAACATGTAATGTAGAGCTTACACGGATAATTTAACAAATAAATATATTACTCAAAAGTATTTCATTCTTATAATGATTACAGAAATTCCAGCGGTCCAGAGCTTTTCTATTTCTCAATGAAATCAAGAGAAGGTTCATAACTGCGTTTGGTGACACTGCTCAGACGGCCATTCCTTATGCCATGAACAGTGAATTTGCCCGTGTCTTAGCGACAGAGATGAAACATTACAGCGAGTCGCGCGACCTTGACACCATATCCAGGGTACACGGAGAATTGGACGAGCTGAAGAATATAATGGTCAAAAATATTGGTAAGTTGACAAATTTTAATATATTCATTAATATTATAAATATGAAAGATTTGATTGTTTGTATTGAATAGGCTCAGAAACAATTGGATTGTTATATATTTTCATCATTACAATACTATATTATTTCTAATGGACATAGGCAGACCGCCTAATCAGGCAGGTCAGCTAATTTAGACTACATTTAGATAAAACATGGGATTAATTAATTAATATTCCCTTTAATGACTGTTAGTTAAAATGTGGAACTTTTATGCTTATTAATATATCTGTCTTTGATAAGAGATTTATGTGTACAAACATAATTATCAAGCTCTTATCTCTATTTCTGGGTTACTGCAGTACTGTTACCTTTGTGTATTGTTGACTAACTTTTATGTTGGTGATGCATAATAAACATTTATTTGTACTGAATATAAAATGAATTTGTGATGAACCGTTAATTAATTTTACATAAAACTGGGATATAATTTTGTAACCAACAGCACTTAAGATCTGCATATTTTTGAATGAACTAATTTTAATTTGCATTTATTTATTCTTATGTGGAAAGATATTGTAATTTGGAATTAATTACAAAATTAATTTTCTAGCTAGGTTAATATGAAACAATCTTAAAATCATCCTACTAATATTATAAAATGACAATCTGTGGCAAACTGAATTTCACGCGGACGAAGCCGCGGGCAAAAGCTAGTACCATTATAATAATTGCCGATGTACCTAAGACAGTTGTAATAAATTTATTTTACTTTTTAAAGTTTATAATATCGAGTAGGAACTGAAATATTAAATCTTACATTTACACGTAAAATCACTGCAATCACTGGACCATGACAGAAGATAATAAGACTTTATTGCTTCCATCGTGTTTTATACAGTATGTAACCTTGTTTTCTATTATCTGGGACTGTTCATTAGTATCATGGTCAAAACTAATGAGGGTTTGAAAATTAGCTGTGTATAATTTTGCTGTCTTATTACAGTCATCAAATTAATGTTTGTTTAGCTATCTGCAATATTGTGTACAATAACAAGTCACTATATTACGTATTTACGTAGTATCTGTAGAACGGTATTTACAATTTTGAAATATTCTTTAAAATACCATTATGCTTGCCATACTAGCAATTCCATAATAATGTTTTTTTGTTTACAGACAATATGGCAATGCGAGGAGAAAAGCTAGAATTGTTAGTGAACAAGGCCGAAAATTTAGCAACTACAGTAAGTATTTGTTAGCATATACCATTGGTTCGAACTGGGTACTTTGCATTATCAACTCAAATTCATGCATGCAATTAATTTAAAGATGGAAGTAGTAAACAGTTTACTCTTTGCAGCCAATCAGATATTTTGCATTTTTACGAACAAAATTGTTTTTGTAGTCTTCAAGTTTCGAATTAAATTAACATATTTTAATACCTGTTAACATATTTAACTCTTGAAAACTGGTTTTAGGAACATTATAGGCAAACTAGTAGATAATAAAGTGGTAATTTATTCATACATTACTATTATCTATCTTCTCGAAATGTCCATTTGATTTAGAAAATTTACGTCGATTTTGAATCAATGATGTACCTACTACAAGTACTATTCATTTTTGGCATCATCCTAACCAATAAAGCCTAGTGAATCAATCTTCTCAGCCAGGGGGTCAAGCCAAAACCAAAAACGTAGCGATTGGTACACGACACCAAAAAATTTGGGAACTTTAAGCTTATTAAAATTATGTTTGTTGGAGGTAATAGTAACCACAACCATTTAGTCGATGGCGAGCGAGCATACTCAGCACAGTCATCTACCTAATAAGGCCGATAAAACGTCATTATTTACATGCGCATAAACAATATATGCGTTTTGAATTTGTTTTAGATAACTAGCGCACACCCGCATGTGAATCAATTTTTATTCAGATTAGTACACGTTTGTGATGAATGGCTGGTTATTAATAAAATGAATGTTTTCTTTCCAGTCGGTGACATACAGAGCGACTTCGAGAACCTTGCAGCGTTCACTGTTCTGGAAGAACATAAAGATGTATGTTATCCTGATTAGTGTTGCTGGGCTAGCAGTCTACCTCATCGGAGCGATGGCATGCGGTGGTTTGGCGTGGAAGACATGCGTGGGCTAAGCTAAAGCCACGCTCCAAATACCAACAATATTCCTACTGCGTCGAAATGTATTGATACAAACGGATGGACATATTACGTTATCAAATGGGGATATCACAATGTCAGGTAGATTGTAGAGTGGAGCGAATATTACTCATATCTGTACACTTAGTTTGCACGATTTTATAGAGTTTATTTTTCATTGCCGTTAACCATGGTCTCTCTGATAATTGTAAAACACCTCAATGCATTAAAGACAATATAAGATACCAATGGTTGGAAACTGCTGACATCCACTTTTCGAATGTCGGGTAAGACAGCCTTTTGACCATTATAAGCATGGGACCATGGTATAACCCTACAGTAGGATTGAATGTTTAAATTGGTTAATAAGTTCAAAATCATTGTGTAAAAATATGAAACATATTGTCAACAAATAGGTTTATCCTTGTATTTGAGGTCGCAAAATTGCACGATTCGTCATTTCACAAATCGTCTGTTTACCGCAAAAATGTACCTAAATTCAAGAAAATAAACGCGTCGACTTGAGAACCTCGTTCATTTTTCGTCGGTTAAAAATACAAAACAAATGAACATGAGGCCGTTTGTGTAATGTCGAATCTTGCAATTTGTTGACGTCACATAATAATTTAAGCATTACATTCTTGACACAACTGTTTTAATAATGTTAACATATCGTTTTAATGATGACAGAATTTTGAACCAAATGTTTGATCAGTAATATGTTTATGTATGCCAAATTTAGGAGTGGGGAATAAATATCTTTAGTTAGCCTAGTTGTTGCAACAACTATGTAAATAAAACGCGAAATAAATTCCTATTATTATTTACAACTGGCCGAATTATATTTATACAAAGTTTATTTCTTATCTATTTAATATTATGATAATTTTATTTTTGTTTATAACTTAAAGAACATATTGGAATTTATTTGGTTCACTAGGTTATATTAAAGTTACAAGCAAGTCTGTGCAGGCCCATGAAAAAGAAAATCCGCCGGCGGTTAACGGGGCTTTAGTTTGAGGGTAGAGAGTAGTGTATGAAGGAATCGCCTTCTTTCTTACTAGTCTATCCTCATTTGTCCCAATGTTTGCTTGAGAATTGAATTGATTTCATATAAAATTACAAGATCAGTCAAAATGACGTGATTTCGTATGAATTTTTGGATGCCATAATTCCCCGCTGGGTGGCGCTGCTATTAAGTAACCCTTAAAATTGGTGTTAAACCTAATGCATAATAATAATATATTATATCACGAAACGACATTGAATATTTACTTTATTATTATATTTACTAGTGATAACTTTAGCATTATCAGTAGCTAATTAGAGTTGAATTTAATTTCGAACACGAATCATTAAACTGACATTTTACTTCGAGCTGTCACATTAACCCTGGTAAAAGTAAACGCAGCCCGCAACATGTATGAACTACATTGTCGGTCTCTATACATTTTGTATTGATGCGAACTGACCGACCGCGGGCACGGGCAAAGTACTGAAACCGCACCGCTGACAGATTGCCTTGTCACGACTGCTGACAGATTGTTTTGGCCGGACCGCTGACCGATTGCTCTGCCCAATAATGTTGTTCATAATTTTATGAGTATACAATATGTGGCGTGCGTATAAGGTATGTACCACATAGACCATGTGGTGATGCGATGCGATTCCTATTTCTTAGTACTTGTCATTTTAATAACTTAAATAAACTACCTAAAGCATTACAACTCTGTACCAAATCTTCAATATTATTAGTTTATTAAGGGTATAATGTGTGTGTTTAAATTTAAAATATGTTTTATAAATTGATTTTTGTATCGGATTAACTAAAGGAAAGTAAGCGATTTGTTTTGCCTGGTTATTTAATTAGTCGGTAAATTGCATTTTGACTTAGGGCCGATTTTTATCTCCCAGATAAAATTTATTCGAAAAAAAAGTATAACATTTCGTCATACTTTCATAGTTGGAAATGGGTCCTTAATTGTTTGCAATGTCTTATCATTATCTGGCTCCAGTCACACCATTCTCTGTTCCTTCATAATGTATGTTTAATTCTAATTGTAACTTCAGATGTAATGTATAAGCCCTATAAGGTGTGAAAATAAACAATTTATTATTATTATTTTTATTATTAAAATTACATTACAACAGTGTAACAGTAAATGAGGAATGTTTCCATGTCATTATGTTGTAAATTAATAAGTCTTCAGCTAGGACTCTAAACACCAAGCCCGCCGACAGTCCGGCGGTTAGGTTTCAAAATAATAATGGTGACGACTTGGCGCCGTCGCCGCGCCCCTACACTGTTCATACGCACCGAGTAAAGCCCGCCGCCGCGCCGCAGCCGCGCCGCCGCCGCGCCGCCACCGCGCCATCAAAGCATAATTTCGCCACAGCGGCGCGGCGGCGGCGCGGCAGCGGGCTTCACGCGGCGCGTATAAACAGTGCAAAGGCGCGGGGGCGGCGCGGCAGCGGCGTCGTGTGCAGGAGTGCTTATACTTTCTATGATTTCGTCTCATGTTGGTGGGTTTGGTATGTATACTGCCTAATCAGAACAAAATCTTAGTTTTATCGTTATTACCTCTATTATTTATAAAACATAATTATTATAAATCATAATCAAGATCTACATATTATTCCATGATAATCGATCTTGCATCAGACTAATTTTACTAATGTCCAAATCGTATATGATTAAAGACTAGAAAGTATTGTGATATTGAGTATATTATGTAAAATGTAAGCATAGTGTTATTGTTTCTCTTAAGTACGTTATAAACTTGTATAAACCATTACTAGTGTTGTTTTATTTAGATAACCTTCATATTTCCATGGATTGGTACTGTTATGAGCCTCAGAGGATTTGGGTTTTTAAAAAAGAACACGAGATTAATAGGATAAGACAGCCGTCTAGTTCGGATGGTGGAATGAGACTGACTTGGAAATGCGAGGTATCGCAGGCTATGGATGGAAAAGGATGAGTCGGCAAAAGGCGGAATGTCAAGTAAGCAATATAGGGTGCGAGGGCTATCTGTAACACCTCCCGGGGGTAGACTAAACATCGGGGTGAAATGAGCGATGTTTAGGAAAAAACGGAAAAGGTAAGAATTTAGGTTTTACACATTTCTGCGTATACTAGGAGATGGGATTTCTTCTGCATCAGGATGACGTTTAATGATCTTCAAGGGAATGGCTGGTTCGGGAGTTGGAGGAGCTGGAGCTGGTTCTACAGGTAAGTTTTCAGGATTGGCGCGAGAGGATCTCGGGAAAAGGTAAGTTAGACGGCTGCGCGATTTAATGCATAAAAACATTTTTAAAATGCAAAATATTAAAATTATACATATAACGATTATGAGTGTAATCGAGTAATGAGTTTCGTATTTAATAAGGGGATGTTGATTTAAAATTTTATCAGTTTGGTCAGATATCGATCTTAATTTTGATTTCGTTTCCAAAGTAAAAACATCTAAATCAATATTTTGTAATTTCAAGGGGACTTCATCATTACTGATTACATTTATAAACTTATCTAGGGTACAACAAGATTGATTTATAATATTAAAATCTGGTTGAATTACAGTAGTGTTGATTTTTACATTATTAAATTTAGGTATTAATTTCGTACTTTTACAGTAGGCTATACAATTGTTTGGTATTGTAAGTATTCCTGTGCCAATGATACTTATTTCTAGGATTTTCTGATTTGGGCATTCTATATATAATTTGGTAATTTGGGATTGTACATATATCCAATTATTATTGTAAAGTGGTGTCCATAAATCTATGTTTCCGTGGACGAAATCGGTTTGACACTGCACTGGTATAGTTTTTATTACACTGATCATTAATTCACTTTCACAACTTGGATTCGCACTAACGGGGAACACAGTCATGACGTCAAAAATTACGATAGCTAAAATCGGACGAGCAATGACCAAGTTACTCACTGGAATGCGGATAGCGCGATAAGGACGATCATTCTCGGAACTGGAAGCTGGAAGTCGCGCTGCTCTCGGCGAAATGTATGCTTGTTGATAAGCCTCGCTCCGTTGCGTCACTGGATGCTCGCTTGCCGGTCGCAGCACGAAATTGTGCGCAACAGTGGGCAAACGGCTGTTCTCGGTGGAGACCGGCTGTGGATGATTCACGCAGCAGTGGGCCTCTCAGGAACTCAGGAACGTTGGAAGACTTGGGCCGGGCCGGAACTCGGTGTGGTATTGGATTATTGGAGGTCCACACAGTGGAGTCGGCGCTTACACACAACACGGCACACACACGCGTCGAGACTGGATTTATAGATTTAACTTGGTTTAAAACTGAACTGTAGACGTTGACCGGGGACTCTTTTTGAATCCCACCGCTGCCACCAAATGTTATGAGCCTCAGAGGATTTGGGTTTTTAAAAAAGAACACGAGATTAATAGGATAAGACAGCCGTCTAGTTCGGATGGTGGAATGAGACTGACTTGGAAATGCGAGGTATCGCAGGCTATGGATGGAAAAGGATGAGTCGGCAAAAGGCGGAATGTCAAGTAAGCAATATAGGGTGCGAGGGCTATCTGTAACAGTACGATGAACTGAAAAGTTGGTTTGGTATTCCGTATCTTTATTTAAGTCCAGTAATTTAAAGGCGCCAAGTGTTGTGTGAATTTACAGGTTAAGTAAAATGTTATTTCTTGTTATGTTTACCTGATCAAAATAAGACCATTTTGACCAATATGTATCTTGTTGTTAATATACTAAAACGATAACCAAAGTTTTACTAAATTGACACGGAAACCTATTGCGTTAAACAGGTCAATATTCTATTCGAGTAATCTGGCATTGAATGTCAATGGCAGTCCCGAATTTCCTGGCGGGTTCCGTACCCAGATTGATCCTGTGGGGTGCATCCCCGCCTCCCTTGGCCCGCCACGGCTCGCTCGCGGCAATCGCGCGCCGACCTCAGTCGCGGGAGGGCGCTGCGATCGTCCGCCGCGAACGAAACACGTGCGTACGTGTATTCCCATTCCGTGTCAATACGCCGCCGTGATGCGTGCCTAGCATCAGAATCACACGATCGTCTGCAAATGAATATGTTTGTCCATGGGCATTATTGTTGTTCTCCGGGGAAGGCAGATAATATCGCTCCTGCATGTATTTCATGTTAATGCCGTGACGTATTTATTTATCAACGCATTTGCCCGGTAGGAAAGTTGATCAAAGTTTGTGTTCAAGATTATTGTAATACCTATTTTTGTTTACAAAAATTAGTTAGACGATCTTGTTTACTTAATCCATTTCTTTTGTTGAGCACCTGTCGGTATCCGGCTTGAAGGACCGGTAGTAGGTTGTATTTTACGTTAAGTAGGTACTTGATTGTAGACGTTAGTGAATGTTGTGTGTTATTACCTATAGGTAAACTGAACAGTTTTTTAAGTTAAACTGTTTATATTTTCGATTATTTAAGCGTACATTAAGACTTAATTAGCTTTCAAGCGGCGCAATGTTCGGTTGCCTTTGCCTGACCAAAATTAGGGTCAAGATTACTCACTATACATATTTATAACATTGTGTCCTGTATTAGGCGCTCTGACTTAAACCGTCGTTTTGACCACGCCGCTATTGAAAGGAGCTTGGTTACGAATTGACGGTAAATCGAATTTATAAGGCATCACACACACTTGCGTGTTCTTCGACTACAAATGTGTTGGTGCGTTATCCAGTTATTAGGCAGGAAGCGGTGTCGATTTTAGGGAAGGTTACTAGGAACGGTTCACAGGTCATTGTTCTTCTTTACGCCGCGGCGAGTATTTTTTGTTGTGCGCGCGACAAGATAAATTGCTATTGTTTGAGATTAGGCCCTTTTTTGTAGCGTCAGCTTCAGAGACATGTGTTGTTGTGGTGTGGGAGTGTAGGACAGTAGGAGAGTGGATGGCCACTAGATTTGTGGTCTTTATCAATTAAGGAACTCGCAAAAATATACGCGGCGTATTTTATGTAGAGCAGACATAGAGCTTTATAATAAGAGATTTAGATAACACGCTTGATTAAAAGACTTCCCATCACACAATGTATAAATGAGATTAGAAAATTTTATCGAATAATATCTTTCACTTGGACAACGGCTAACGTTATCATGAATCCGGAGCGACATTATTAAAAAACTTACAGCTCTGAACAACGACATGGCCCATGACTAACATCTCTATTTCTATCCAGGCAAGATGGGTTAATCTTTGAACTGTCCACGATGACTCATAAAGTGAAAAAACGGTTCTAAATCTAAGACGATGTTCTTGTTGGATTAGTGCTACATTTCTGGTTCAAAATGGATGACAGCTCGCCAGACCTGTCGCTCAAGCTTCGGCGGGGCTCGAGCGATTCGCGAGAGTCGTTCTATATGGATTTTGCTCAAGGAATCGATTCGGATATCGAAGAGGTGACGACGATCGAGCGGGTGATACCGGAGCACCCTGGCGGCAGGACTGAGGGGGATTCGGATACTCTGGCAACGCCGTCGGGCCTGGAAGAGAATAAGGATCTGATGCAATGGTGAGTTACGAACAATAACTAAGTTAAAGTATCTAACTACTCATTTAAAATGTATAACCCAAAGGTTTGTACGACCTACATCCTTGGGGTTTTAAAAATTACAATTACGAAAGAGATTGTGTTAAAAGTTTGTCTAACCTAGAGCTTAGGTATAAACTTTGCTCACCTTAATTAGTTCGTAAATTAGAAAATTCTTTGCACAGTACTTAGACGCTCTTTCTAAAGTTGCTCAAAGTAGGTAAAATCACAGAATGATCATAAGTAGGTACTAGTAAAGTTCCTAACTTTTAATAGGTGAAATACGATCTTTAGATCTCAGTGTAGCTTAATATTAAGTTCTTTGGCAATCAATCAACAAAAAGGTACATGTGTTACTAATTGTGCTGTAATTTAAAATTAACCGCTTGGAATCGAAATTAATTTGTTCTTTAGCTGAATGGTAATTCTAAAACAATTACGGACCAATAAACCACCAAGGCACGTCTTACGAGACATAAGTATGTCAGCTGGGACCCGCCAAACGGGTTCCGATCCAGGCTTTCTCTTGGATCTCGCATATCAGCTGTGTTTAGTGTTGTTCCTAAACGATAGTAATATGCGCACGCGCTGAGCTTGGCCGTCATTGCATTTTAATGACTATTAAATTATTGTAACAAGTCAATAATAGCTTAAAGGGATTATTGAATAAGTAATAATAACTTTCAGTACTAGGAATGTATTTATTACTCAGTTATTAAGGAGACGAAGTCGCGGGCACAGCTAGTAGATAATATACAAACTGTATATTCCAAGCTGTCTACTTAATTCTCGGAAGGATTGTAGGCGCACAATTATTTTCAATGTGTGTGTGTCTCTTATGAGTTTTTTTTTAAATAATTTTGGTAACTTTGAACTGTGCTTGCACTTTTTGAAAGGTTATTAATTATTTTATTTATTTATTATTCATTATTGAGCAATTACATACTTACTACTTCGAAAGCCAAATTCCATAAGTAGTGTAGAGTTCTGAATTAGAAAGAAACTTAAAATCAAAATATTCACTTACATTTTCAGTTGTGACTATGGGTATCTACTTACCTATGCTCAAATAATTTTCATACCAACAACAACTTAGCACGTTGTAATGTTATAAACGTTCCATACAAAGTCGAGCTTTTCTCACAATAATGGCCGTGGCTAACACGGCAGCACTAGTACGGCTTGCGGTCGCACAAATCGCGATAGGCCAGCCCAGGCACGCATTCGGCTGGAAGTTGCTTGGTGCTATATTTCTTTGAAGCTATACTGTGGCTATACCAACTGGATTCAAGTGAAGTCCCAAGTGCTACAGAATGCGACAAGATCTGTGTGTGTTTGATATTTGGTATCACTACATAGTATAAAACAAAGTCGCATTTTGTCCCTATGTAGGTATGCTTAGATCTTTAAAACTTCGCAACGGATTTTGATACGGTTTTTTAAACAGATAGAGTGATTCAAGAGGAGGTTTATATGTATACATACTTAGCACCCGTGCGAAGCCGGGGCGGGTCGCTAGTAGATATAATGCAGTCTGTACGTTTTTAGAGAGAAGCAAGCACGTTGTGCTACTTATCTGTATTCTTGCAAAGCTACCTCTTTTATTGATAGGTTCCTATAAACTACTCGTAATAAACACAAGACATAAAATAACTTTACCTACGTTTGTGACCTCTGTGAATGCAGAGATAGTAAAGTTAAATACGTAGGAATTTATTGCCTACCCACCTTTCCATATAAATCGGCCAATTTAGTGGCCCCCACAGAGCTTTTGTAGCCCTACCGCCATTTTCAAACAGACCGTTGTAGAGTTTTGAGAACTGAAGTTTTATTAATGGGAGTAAAGCCAGGATCTAACGACTTTTTTACACTTTTCAGTGGAATATTGTCTCATTCCAATCTGTCGTCTTTACGATTTTCTCATTTTATATGCTCGTTGGCCTTTTTCAGTAATGTGCTTATTTGATTACATTTTGGATGGGTTATGTGTCATTCGAGCTCGAGGACTTAATAGAAAAACCTAAAAGTATGTACGAGAATATCATGAAAAAGTGTTTTTATACACATAAATGAAAGTTTTCATAGAGCCTAGGATTAAGTTTTATGTTGCTTTTCTACTTATCCAGTTTTGTGATATTTATCCAATATTTAGGAAACTTTTTTCGAGAAAATTAGTTCAATGGCTTCGACATGAAAAAGTAAACAAGCAGACAGACATTTATTTATACTATAATGGATTAGCTCAATGGATATACCCATTTCATGTTTACTGTTTTGCGTATTACGTCTTGTTCCTACACTCCTCCTGGCCATAAAGACGAGGCTACATTCTTCTTTGTGTGATTTTCTGCACGCAAACTGGCTGTTGTTTTTGCTTAGACAGTCTGCGTGGGGCGTGTGGAGCTTATTTGCAAACGGTGTGTAATTTAGTTAGTGCAAGTTGTGTACCTATGTAGTACTTTATGCTATCCAAGTATCAGAGGATATCCTGTGGTGCTTAACCAGTCATTAACTGCATTTTAGCGTGATCGTTGATAACGAAAGAAAAAGCTTTGATAGAAGAAAGCATCTTAGTAAGTGGTCTTATTACTGACTTTGCTACGATAGGTTGCTATAATTTATTTTGATACGCATCAGGAAAATCAATCGGTGACTTAATTTATCAATAAACGATCTCTGCTTCGTGCGCGGCGTGAAGGCTTCTAAAAGGAGCGATTTTCCAAAAATGTTGCAGAGTATTAAAAATAGTGTTTAAAACAAACTCGAATATGGGAATTCCAATCTAAGGTGTAAGTATTAGGCTACATAAGTTTAATTGATGAAGGCCATTCATAGAAATCAAAGAACCTATAATTCAACGACGCTAAAAGAAAATCCCGGCGTCAACTTTAAAATGAAAATTACTTTCACGCTTGTTTGTTTAGTTTTCTTTGTAACATTTACTGTGGGTGGCACGCTTCCACGAGCCAGTCGTTAGGGAACTATTTTAGATACGGCTTTCCAGTAAGTTAGTTACAACGTGCGTTCACTCTAGCTGGCGTGTTCCATTTGACACTTAACTAATAGTTTCGTCGGTAACACATAGAGAGGAAACGATTCCCGGAATACAGACGGAACTGGATGCTGGGAACTAGTCTAACCACCTACAACCTGCTTACCGGAGTTATTTCGTCAATAGCATTTCCGTCAAGAGCATAATGCTATCCCGGTCATAGGGATGTGTCAATATGTATGCAATGCATAAAAACTTTAAAGGAAGCCATTTGCAAATATTTTTACATCGTGAAAAGTAGTTTAAGGCTGGGTTGCACCATCTTAATTTAACTTTGATAAACGTCAAAAATCTGTCAAACTCCATACAAAAAGCACCGGTTATCGTCATAGTTACGGTCAAATATAGCTGGTGCAACTCAGCCTTAAACTTTTGTTCTGTAGCTGAAAATTGAACTCGATTCATTAACGTTAAGTAACTGTCGTCCATAATTCCTAATATTTGCGAGACGTTAAGATTATCGGAATTTACTTTAGATGTTTATTTGAAATCGACGTCATAAACAGATATTAAACTTTCAGTATTGAGCTCAAACTTGTCGATAAAGAGACATGGCTTTGATGTTTTCTATGATACTGCCGTTATTAGAAATCATCACAATCTGTTTCGAAAGGTGGACTTGTCGCAAAGGATTATTGCTTTTTGATTACTTGAGCATTTAGGTCCTCTTTCAGAATATAGGACTCTTCTAGCTATCTTATTATAATCTCTACGTTTTTTTGGGTTGATTTATTTTATTTTTATTTCCTTTATTTTTGTTAGAAATGGTAAGACCCCGCAGCTTACAGACCGATATGTCGATATGTAATAGTCTGCGGGGACTCTATGATGATACTTTCTCAATTAAACCACATTTGCCCCCGATAGTTGAAACTCATCTAACACCAAATCAAAACGGAGATAAAAAAGTTTAAAATAATTTAAATGGGTAGTTCTTAGCTGTCCTGGAGTTTAAGTCATATCCGAAAAAAGTGTTAGATGCGCCTTTTCAAATATCAAGGCCAGACATGATGAGAGCAGTGCCTCGATTGCGCAAATTTTTAACGTCTTTAATTCATTAGCGCTTCTTCTCCAGTTGCGCTCCGTTTTTCAATCTAGCTGAGGTGCAAATTCGGTATCGCGGTAAAGTTCACGCGCAAAGAAAGACGAAACAACGTATTTAATTACTTTGAAATAAAAGTCCGAATACCTTATTTTTTTCACTAAAACACAGCAAATGTTCGTGAAGGCGTTTGACTCGAGTTTGAGAAAAAGTAGTCTTACACAAAGTTTTCACTTTTACACAAAGAAGCAGGTGCGTTTTTTTTTTCGTTTGAACTAGCTGTCAATGTCCACCGCGATACGAATTTGTGATTTTCGTTCGTCGTCTAGTCGCGTTTTACTTAGTTGAAAATATTTTGCGCTATCGGGGCACAGGTCAGCCTAGATTTTGTTTGCTCTTTTGCCTCTAGTGTCATCTTGTCCCTTTACACAAACACCAGGAAAACACCAACAAAAATGTAATTACCGTTAGATACCTCCTAAACACGATGAATCTCTGTAATTGAGTTTTATTAGCTCGTGTAGTAAACAAGAAGGAGGCAATGAAGTGAAATGAGGAGTTATACGCAACATAACTGCCGTTCCAGATTAACTTGTATGTAAATGGAAGCTTACCGCATTTGTTAATTTCTGAGAACATGAACCAAGTTATTGCGTAGAGCAGTTACATAGATTCGTTCGTTCGTTCGTTTCAGCCGCAAGACGTCCACTGCTGGACAAAGGCCTCCCCCAAGGATTTCCACAAAGACCGGTCCTGCGCCGCTTGCATCCAGGTACTTCCCGCGACCTTCACCAGATCGTCGGTCCACCTAGTGGGAGGCCTGCCCACGCTACGTCTTCCAGCTCGTGGTCGCCACTCAAGAACTTTTCTGCCCCAGCGGCCATCATC